TTAGGAATAAATTGTAAGTGTTGCGAGAAAAAAATGTCTACTTGTGAGTTTCATTCCGCTTCTACTCACAATGTCTCCCCGCAGTAAGGACTTGTAGAAGCGATGTCGTAGTATTAGACTTTCCAAGTACTTAGTAAAATCCAAATATTAAATAAAAAATAACTTTGACTTTAATTTTGACTGTAAGAGACGCTTCGCACCTCTAACGCTGGTCTCAATCACCAGTCAGAGTATTTTACTTTCGATTATACTGCCATTTATCGGAAGTTCAATTCTGACTTTCCAATGACACAATACAAAATTGAGTAATGTAGTTTGACATATTTTTTACGAAAAGTAGTTTATATTTAGTTATGGAGTGTAGAAGTAAGGAGTACAGACTGTGTATTAAAAAGTATCCATAGAAAACCGTTAAATAAGGGTGGCGCCACTATAGCTACGGGTTAAATTTTAAAGAACGTGCCGAAAAACATTAATGACATAGACGACTTTTTCGAGGTTATATTTACTAAATAAAATTATTTTAGACTTTGGAGCTACTGAGCAGTTTAGCAGCATACTTAAAACCGTCGACAACTGCTTAGTTCATTTCATCCCAGTAGCTACTCCAGCGCTGTTGTGGAGAGTTTTTGAACTGTTATTTACTGCTTACAGATGGCCACTTTTTCAACTATTCTACTATGGGAGTTGGTACTCCTTACTTCTACACTCCATATATTTAGTCTCAAGTTTAAACTAGAGTCTGTTTTATAACGGTACTTGTAAAAAATATGTGAACTAAATGTGTACTAGGGAATCTTCCTCAAAATGGAAGGTGGCGCCGCGGCTATAGGACTTCTTTAATTAGAAGGAATATTCTTAAACTATAGTATTACTTTCCATGAGTAATTTATAACGTGAAGTAGTCTTTACCAATTAGTATACATTTATTAAAATAGTTGAGAGTATTTTCTATATATCGCAATCTGTGTGACGGGCGTCGCTTATTGCCGCAAGCACGGAGTCACGGCGTGTAGAGGTAAGGAGAACCATCTCACATAGGAGAATAGTTGAAAAAGTGTTTCTCTGTAAGCATTAAATAACAATTCGAAATTCCTCCACAACAGCCTTGGAGTATCAAATGAACTTAGTTGTTGTCGACGGAGTGAAGTGAGCTGAGTGGAGGAATTTAATATTTGTGGTGACTAGAGTAGTTGATGATACTGCAGTATTTAAAACCTCAACTATCCACGTAGTCTAAAATAAGTTAATAAATATAACTTAGAAAAAGTCGCCGTAAAACACGTTGTGAGTAATTTTGAGTATAAACATTTTGGAAACAATAATTTAATTATTATAAACAAGAATTATGGTGAGAAATAAAGTTATTTTTTTTTAAATTAACCCTCTAGCTACAGTGGCGCCACCCTTATTAAGCGCTTTACTAAGGATACTTTTTAATACAGAGACGATCTTCCTTACCTCTACACTCCGTACATCGAGTTTTGTGGTACGAGGCTCGCAGCTGTAATCAAGCGCAAGCCGATGAGGCTACTTTTTATTATCTATCAGCAAAAATAATTAGCGGAGTGCAACTTGCAATGAGTTAAGAAAAAAAATATCAACTCTTGACGAACAAAGTTTAGTTCCAAAGTTTAAGTGTTGTTAAGGCTTTAAGAAGTGCACAGAATGAGGGTACCTTCGATCAACAATACCAACTAGATAACGGGTCACGTACAAAATCATAGCTTCATACTGTCCGCATGAATATAAACTATGAAAAGACATAATTTAAATAACATTTAGTGTGAAATCAACCTTAAATTATAACAAATAAAGTTCTTTTTCCCGTTATTGCCTTGCGAGCTACACTCTCACGTGCAAGACCTCACGTCTCATGTGCGCACTTATTTACTGAGATGGACTTCTTGCGCCGACCCGACATCTAGTTGATATTGTTGATCGAAGGAGGGTACTCACGACTTTTCTGCCACCAGGGCGGCGCCACTCGAGGAATGAAACAGATTTCATAGCGGAGGAGGTTTATGTTAGAAAAGTGTAGAGATTAATGTTTATGTATGAAATATTTAGTTATCTAATATATACAACACGTAACGTTTGAGGAAGTAGTTTGTTCAGAATCTTTTACTGAATCGATTCCTATCATTTTTAATATAGGAATTTTTTATCCCAAAAATAATTGAAACTACGTAAATTACAGTCACACTAAATCAGTACACTCAAAACAAACTGAAATGGACCGTAACTTAAGGCAATAAGACTTTTAAGAGTGCAGTTTTATTTGTATTATTACTGATTCTATCATTCAATAAAAATGAAGAAAAATTAACTTTATTTCAAGCACGTTAAAGTCTTTGCGTTCGGATTTGTACTGTTACGACAACATTCTTCCGGAATTAGTATAACTAATTTGATAAATAATCAGTGCATATTAATGTTTAACTAAAAATTCAGTGTATGTATTATGATTATAACATAATATACTAATTGGGGTGTCTGAGGGTGTGCGTTAATTACGTTACATATTGTATATAAAATATATATACCTTTAAACGAGCAATTCTTGTATATATATATATATATATATATATATATATATATATATATATATATATATATATATATATATATATATATATCCTTGTCCCTGTTTTCAGGCAATAAAAAAAAACTGTTACAATTTAGGAAGGTAAATTTTAACAAATCACTAATGATTGTAATAGCTCAGATGTGATGTCGGTCGGGCGTGATACCGGAGTTCTGTGGTTCGCGTCCTGTCTCTGGTCCGGCTTTTTTTCCTTTTATTTTTTAAGTTCCCCTTTTTGAGAGAAAATCTACTTTTAGTATTTTTAAAAATACAAAAATTTTAACAAAAAATCATGAGTGCAATTAGCACTCATGATTTTTTATTCAAATAATCAGTTCAGTTTTTTCTATTCTGTCAATAAGATCAAAAAATATTATTTATGTTTCATCAGTATGTAATTTATAAAAGTAATTTCAAAAAAAAAAAACCGAGCAAAGCTCGGTCATCCGTATACTATAAAATAATGTTTGTTTGTTCGTATTTTATGCGTTTGCTTACCGTTCGTCGGATTACGGTAAAAATTTGTCATCTAATTATTATTTCATTATTCATGCGTGCGAAATTTAGACACAGATTTTTATAGTTATATAATTCGACTTCAATTAGTGTATTATCATTCCTAATTCAACTATATTACTCATGTAAATTTACCAATAATCTAATCATCCAAATCACGCGTTACTTACATTATATTAAAGGTGTTAAACATTATTGGTTTAGATCAGCGTAACAAAATAAAATGATGTGTCTGACCTAGATTAAAGAGCACCTCTCGCAATTGCGTGCACTATCCCCGTCACAAGTCTTAGCGGTCAATCACCGCAGAGTTTACCTCACCCGATGATGCCTATCTGTAGATGCGAAGCATTATCGACGATGGTATATCTTTCATAGTGTAGTGGAGGTTCTGGTACTTGTGGTGACGGGGATAGGGCACGCAACTGAGGGAGAGCGTGGGGTACTCTTCGAACTGGGTAAAACACATGATTTTATTTTATTATACGGATCTTACCTAAATTAATTTTTAACACCTTTAAAATAACAAAACAATACAAACAAGATCTAAGAGAATTACAAAGAAGACGAATTAAAAAATTTTAGAAATTAAAGACTTTCCTACCACTAGTCGTAAGATTGGTTTCATTGTGAATGATAGTCCTACATATTATATTTAGTGCACATGAAGAATATTTTCAAAACTAAAAATGATTATATTATAGGCAACTTATGTCAATGTATAATCTAATCTTAAATTAAATTATTAATACAATGAGAAAGGAATCAGAGATTAAACTAATAGGTGGTGAATGTGACCTAAAACTATATTACAAAAAAATATTAGAGGGTAATATTTATTTATAAATGTAATGGATAAACAACAAAAAAAAAACTAAAAAAATTATATCCGAAAATAAAAATAAATTAACTTTTGAACATCATGTCCTCGAACAGAAAAACGTATTCCATTATAATTTGAGCACTTTTCTCAGAAAACTTATTAACCTTAAGACTTAATTTATATTAAAAAAATAACAAATGTTTTTGGTTTAATCATATTATCTTTTACCTAAATAACAATAAGAATGTTAAAGTACTCGATAATAATAATAATAATATTTATGTTTGAATGGGAAGTCATTTGTACACATTTTACTTTAGAACAAAATAAAGAAAAGCCACTGTTCACTAGGAAATCTACAAGACTTATATTCTATTTAATACACTTTACACATAAAATGTAACATTTTGTTAGGGACATTTATCACTTTATAACAGTGATATTAAATTATTACAATACGTTTTGTATTTGATACAGTTAAAAACTTATTTACGACAATGTGATAGACGAAGCGATCGCCATATTTCTTCAATCAGATAATTAACAACAAGGTTACATATAAGTGAATTACTACATTACAAGCCACACACTAGAGCATTATTTAAAAGAAAGAGAAAGATAGACATAACACACAAGGTAAAAATCATATGAAATACGAAAGAATAATAATATCACACGCGCTTTCTTTTGTATATGATACCGTCTTTTTTTTTTCAAAAAATAAATTTTAAATCATAAAGTTGAAGTCACACCTACACTGAAATCAATTCTTTAGAAAAGGTGATATTAAAACTCGCGAATAAAAATCATTATCTGTGAAATAAGTAGTAGTATAAACAACAGTTATCAATTAGTTTAAAAAAAATCATCGCCCGTACTTATGGACTACAAAGGGACTATATTCGGTCTCTTTCTAGACGATATGGTATTTATATTTTCCCAATATCCTATTATTTCTTCAAATATGTTTACCACCAGATAGTACCTTAACGACGTTCCAAACGTACCTGATGATACTAAGGAAGCAAATGTCCTGTTACTGAACCAGAGGACTTTGTTTATGATTTCATAACGTTATTCTAAAAATTTGAGTAAACTGGACTTTAGAGGCTTAACAAAGCCCGTATTATTAGATTTGACGTATAATGACAACTGCTTTGAAATTAACTGATGCTTCTCCATTGTACTTGGTACGACTGTTAATACCTGTAAAGCAAAATTATTATTTTAAATATAGCTAATATGCATATAATGTAAAGCCATGCTGCATCTACATATATTATAGTTGTAGCACGAATTGTTCGACTTGACCGGAGGGACCACGCTCTCACAGAATACCAGCGTAAAATAGCAGCTTAATGCTGCTGTGTTTCAGATGGTGAATGTCCGGCGACAGAGGCGGGTTAGATATCGACAGCGCCCTAGACTAGCACCTGATCGGCGCCTCTTTAGCGGCCATATATTACAAATTATTACCACTGAATTTGCAAAAAATATATCTTATAATCTATTATATGGTTTAATAGTTGCAAAATAATTAGGACACGAGTACCCATATACTGTATAGTGGGCGGTATTTTTATTCGTTTAAAACTTTCGCGCGCGCCCCTTTTTACAATATCCGCCACTTTCGTAGACCTTTTTTTTACTGGAAACGAGGCATTTCATCTCAGTTCCCAGGAGTGACAATTCTTTATAAATTTGTAATCGAGAATAGATGTAGATAGATGTCTCTGTACCTCAGCATACACTTACCATAAGGTGGAGTGTGTGCTTGTTTGTTACCCTAATTCTATAAAAAAGCAACCTTACTCATAAATGTCGACGTCAATTAGAGAAATGTTTAAAGTTGCTCTCCCTCTGTCTTTCTCTCTCTCTCTGTGTCAATACAATATAGAAAGAGATAAGATCAAAGATCATTAATGCTTAATTTAAGTAAACAATAATCAATGACTATACAGGTTGTTTGGATGAATGATGGGTGCAAAACATGAAGGGGATGATATCTTCAGCCATTTAGAACATATTATTAAGTTAAACTTGTCTTAAACGAAGTCTGCTCCTTTTTTAATTGAAGTTCTAAGGTTTTTAATCGTTTTTACAGCCATGTCTTCCCGGATTTAATACCACCAAGTATAGTACCAAGTGCTTGCATTGCTGTGTTCCGGTCTGCAGGGCATAGTCAGTATTATACAGGCTGCGAGGAATTCTATCATATTCCTCAGAGGTAAAAATGCATCACGGTGTCCGTCTTTGTTTGAATTCGGCCGAATATCCATTGACTGCAGTATCACTTACCATCAGATAGACAATGTTCGTCACTTCGGTTTTATAGAAATATAAATATAAAATATATAAATAGTATTCAATTAATATTAGATGGACTGTGTGCTCGCTTGTCAGTTTGTCACTCTTACGTCTATCTACCACGGTTAATTCTTTTGGAAATGGGTCTTACCAATTAGTTCACACATAAATTTAAAAAAATTGTAATATAAAGTCGCTGTAAGACACACTGTGCTTATAAATATATATGCGAAAAAAATATATTTTTACATATATATATAAAATAAAACAATATCCATACCTTAGCGTATGCCAACGGCTGATCGCACACCTTCTGATAGAGCTTATTCTGAACACATACACGTTCTGGTGCCGTCAAGCCGTAAAGTTCATCTTCTTTTAGTCTAGCGAAAGATTTCACTTTTAATCTCATAGTTGGCACTGAAGTTCCGACAGTATTTGTTTTATCTGCTTCATTTGTATTTTTAATACTTTGGTCGACTTGAGGTTGAACTGATGGACCAGCTTTTTCCGTATCACTAGCGTTTGCAGCTTTTTTGTTTTTATAAACTTTTGGAGCAGTATCTTTTACCGTAGCTACCACAGCTATGTCGTTTTGGGGAGCCTTTGCAGCTGTTACGTTTTCAGTGGCTTTCGCGACTGTATCATTTTCGCCAGAATTTACGGTTGTATCTCTTTCCAAAGCATTTATAGTTGTTTTGTTTTCAATAGCTTTCGCAGATGTTTCTGTATCACTAACGTTTGCAGCTAGTTTGTTTTTATAAACTTTTACAGTAGCAGTCGCAGCTATTTCGTTTTGGGAAGCTTTTACAGCCATTTCGTTTTCAGTAACTTTCGCAACTGTACCATTTTCAGAGGGCTTAGCAAGTCCTCCGTTTTCTGTAGCACTAGCAACGGTATCATTTTCAAAGGTTTTTGCAGCTACATCGTTTCCAATAGCTTTCACAGCGTCTTCATCTTCCATAGGATTCTTAGCTGATTCTTTTTCAGAAGCATTCTCAGCTGTTTCATTTACAGTAGTTTTGGCGTCTGTTTTGTTTTTAAAATTATTTACAGCTGTTTCGTTTTCAGTGATGTTTGCTACTGTATTATTTTCAAGCGCTATTACAGCTGTCTCATCTTGAGTGGTTTTTACAGCTGGTTCGATTTCAGGAGCATTTTCTGCTGTATTGTTTTCAGGAGCTATCACAGCTGTATTATTTTCAGTAGTATTTGAAACTATTTTGTTTCCAGTAGCGTTTGCTGCTGTAATACTTTCAGGAGCTATCACAACTGCTTCGTATTCAGTAGTTTTTGCAGCCATTTTGTTTTCAGTGGTGTTTGCAGCTGTATTATTTTCAGAAGTGTTTGCAATTGTTACATTTTCATTATCATTTGCTGCTGTATTATTTTCAGCAGCTATCACGGCTGTTTCGCCTTCAGTAGTATTTGCAGTCGTTTTGTTTTCAGTCTCTTTTGCAACAGTTTCGATATCAGAGGTTTTCATAACTGATTCACTTTCATTAGTTTTCGTAGGTATATCATTTTCTTCAGCTTTGTCAACTACATCGTTGTCAATAACTTTCGAAGCTTTTTCGTTTTCAGTAGCCATCACAAACTTATCATTGTCATTAGCTTTTGCAGCTGTTTCGTTCTCGGAAGGATTCACAGTAGTTTGTGTTTCAATACTGATCGGTTCGAGGTTGGCCTTTGTCGATTGTAAAAGGTTTGGAGTACTTTCCTTATTGCTTTTCTCGTAAGTTACTGTCATACTATTTAACCAACTCGCAAATGGTGTTGATTCTTTAAGTAAGCTCTGGTTGATTTTGATTGGTGCTGGGTCAAAAGTGTTATTTCCATCTTTCTCGCCCGGTAGTAAAATTCTAAAAAAAATAAAGAGTTTGTAATTTTATTTTATTTGGCAAACTTACAGCTATACAAAATTAATAACAGTCAGAAGACTTTTTTATCCCATATAAGAAAAGAACTTTTTATATGGGCTAGCCCTAAAAGTAGGGTCAGTTGCAGTTTTTAAAGGGTATTTGAGATGTTCCGTCGCATGTTTTTTTTTATTTCTTAGACATGTCGCTTTCCTCACAAGTTTCCTTCACCACCAAGCACGCAGGGCAAACCTTGTTGGTATCGAAATCTGTTTTCCTGATCTACCACGGTTAATACTTTTAGAATCATTTTCTCAAACTAACCAAGCTGGGCAGATCGTTAGGCGAACACACACCAGGTAATGATTAAGATTTAAATTTAGACTTATTATAGTACACTTAATTTAAGAATTTAATTAAGACTTACGACGGTAAGAATCAAGAAGGTCCCTGCCTTCCTAACTCGACTGATAATCTAATTATTAATAACAAATATTATTTCACCTAATAATTCTTCAAGCCCTATTTTTTTGTCGCTTGGACAAAGTTGGCGTCTGGGTAAAGTACGTGTACCTCCGTAGGCATTCGGTCTCAGGTTTACATAGGGATCCTGAATTTAGTGCAGTGTAATCAGGAATGGTCATGTAGAAAGAATGAATGAGGAAAGAGTGACAAAGCAAATTTATATGGCAGATGTGAACGGCAGAGTCGGGAAAGGACGCCCTAGAAGAAAGTTTATCGACCAAATTGGCGATATTTTGAAAATGGGCCACATTAGAAGTACCCTTAACCGACGAGCATGTATGCGTAGATATATTGATGTAAAGGAGGCGAAAGAGGTATGTCAGGATCGTGCCAAATGGAAGTCCGTGGTCTCTGCCTACCCCTCTGGGTGACAGGCGTGAGTGTTTATGTTATGTTATTTTTTTATGTAATCAGGAACCCAAAATTAGAGTGCTTGCCTAAATTCCACTTAGGATTTCTTATATCAGTGCAGTGTAATAAGCCTTTTTTTTTTTCATTTTTCAATGAATTTTCAACTATCAGTCAAGGCCCCTTCCTGATTGAGATTATACCGTGCATAACGCGCAGGTAAGGTTGACATTTGGCGAAGATAATATTTTCTAATATTTTCTAAACTGAAGAAGTGTCCTATTAGCAAAAATAATAAATCGAAACTTACCTAATACAGGGCTTTGCGGGCTCTAGACTCCAGTATGTCGGTTTTTCGCACGGTATGTCGTTATCCGTAAGAATCCATTGTCCAGTTCTTAGTGTCAAGGGTTTGTGTGCAGCATCCAACCTCATGATCTTCAAGTTGTGTCGTGGTCGTCCATGTGCCCACAAAGCCGCCGACATACCAAAATCCGCATGTGTAAATACTGGGTCAAACTGTGATATTGAAAATCCAACTGATTGCGACCCACCGCCCGGATTTTCCCGTTCATGTGTCAAATCGAATATTTGTTCTCGTGGCATTGTAACTAAAAGAAAGTTAGGACTAGTTAGCTCCTCTTTTAAAGTGGTAAAGCCACAGTTCAGCTATATTATGGCTGTAGCACGGATGGGTTGCCTCGACCGGGGTAGGACCACGCTCTCAAAGAATACCAGCGTAAAAGAGCGGCTTACATACACAACATAAACACTCACGCCTGCTACCCAGAGTGGTAGGTGACACTACAGACTTCCATTTGGCACGATCCTGACACACATCTCTCGCCTCCTCCACATCCATATACCTACTACGCATTCATGCTCGTCGGTTAAGGGTATTCTTAATTTGGACCATTTTCAACATATCGCCAAATTGGTCGATAAACTTTCGCCTAGGACGTCCCTTTCCGACTCTGCCGTTCACTTCTGCAACATAAATTTACTTTGTCACTCTTTCCTCACTCATTCTTTTTAAATGACCGAACCACCGAAGCATTCCTTTCTTAATGCTAGTCACAACATCATCTTGCAAACCACACTCTTCTATTATCACACAATTTTTCACTCTACTCGAATCAACCCTAACATATTCCTTAACGATCGCATTTCTATTGCGTTTATTCTACTCTCATGCTTCTTCTGCCACACCCAACTTTCACTACCATACGTTAAAGTAGGCACTAACACAGCATTGTGAATTGTCATACGTGCCTTTTTTGACACATTCTGACTTTTCACAATAGATCTGACTTTTCGCAAAATAGTACTTGTACAAAATTTACTTTATTTCCTACATTCACTCATCGCTAGAGGATGTAGCGACGAGTGAACGTCTCATATCTCCCACCCCTGCTAAATACAAATTCCAAATATACGAACTTAAATAAATTTACGAACAGATAGATATAGGCTGTATTTTAACTGAAAAACTTCATAATGATTTTGTGTTATTTTTGTCTGTTTGTCCGTAAGCGCTAATCTTCAGAATGGCTCAACCTGCTACAATGGAAATGTAGCTCATCAACTTGATCGACCAACTCCCTTTCTATTCTTATTTCACATATCGTTTTACTTTCTTCTCTTTCAAAAACTATAACTTTCGTCTTGCATTCACTTTCATTCCACTTTCCTTTAATGACCTGTTCATTAATGTAGCCATCATTTGCAACTTGGCCACCGACGACGCAAATATAACTTGACACCCTGTCTGACACCTTTGTAGATGAAACCAGTCCGAGTATACCCCGTTAATCCTAACACAAGCACTAGAGTTCCTATAAAAATACTGTAATGCCTGTATCAACCCAGAAAACCTTTCGTACATACTATATCAACATGGGACTTCCATGTTAACATGCTATCGATTCTCAAACCTAAGAAATGGGTGCTATTAGTTTTAACAATATTTTAGTCAGTGATGTAGTGTCATGGCAGATATTTTTTCTTGACAATATATATAAATATTCACGCCTGTCACCCAGAGCGGTAGGCAGAGACTACAGACTTCCATTTAGCACGATCCTGACATACCTCTCTCGCCTCTTTCACATCCATATACCTACGCATACATGCTCGTCGGTTAAGGGTACTCTTAATTTGGCCCATTTTTAGTATATCGCCAATTTGGTCGACAAACTTCCGCCTAGGATGTCCCTTTCCGACTCTCCCATTCACTTCTGCAACATATATTTGCTTTGTCAGTCTTTCCGCATTCATTCTTTCTACATGACCAAACCACCGAAGCATTCCTTTCTTAATCCTGGTCACCGCATCATCTTGCAAACCACACTCTTCGTGAGACTATACTATCCACTCTCTCTTATTTAAATTTATTTTAAGATTATTAAGATTCAACCAATTAAATATTTTATTAAATGTCTCATTCATTTCATTATTTAAGACTGTCAAATCTGTGGTCATGAAGAGGACAATACAAATTTTTCCGTTATATATTGTGACTATCACGGCTTTGCACCTGTTTTCCGGTACCCGCTTCAGTTTCCAAAATAAATTAAACAAGGTGTAGCAGGCCACCATATCCTCTCCAGGCTTTAGCATTTCGAGTAATGTTACCTGTTTTTATCCTTAATGATTTCTTATATTTACGCGAACACTACGCATTGATTAAACTACTTTTACGGATTTTATCACGTTTAATTTTTAATTACTTTTAATTCCAGACGCTTCGGGTGTTTTCTAGCAGCCATGGTCACGGGGGATTGAGATGACTGACGTCCCGATGTCATTGTTAAACCCGGAGTACCTTCAGCCTTTTTAACTATTGTTTATGGTCCGATCTACTCAATTCATTTTGCATCATATCGCATACTTCATCCATCTTATCATTCATTGCTCCACATACATTCACCGTAACCAGACGGGCTTCCGCAATCCACTTGTCACCCCTCCGAAAGACAGAACGGGACGGAACCTCGTCCCCGGTTTTCCTACCGGAGATTCTTCGCACCCCTGTCCAATTAAAGGAGCGCCGGGAACTCGGGGCCATTTGTTTTCTTTTTTGTCTCATGGTGCGAAACTACGGGGTAACATTTTACGCCGATACCACATGGTTCCTTCGGCTTTGTCACTCGTTTAGCATCACCCAGGGGACACGTGTAGGGTGGGCCTTGGATTAAGTGGTTGAAGCTTACGGCCGTGAGCGACTTATCCCCCCCCCCCCTTAATGCTGCTATATTTAATATGGTGAGTGTATAGAAGTGGAGACGCATTTTTTACTGGTAGTGAAGTATTCTATCTTAGTTCTCAGGTGTGAAAACGCATCTACATTTTGATTCGCAACTGAGCATTGATTTAGAAGTCACTAGAACACAGCATCCACCAAATGCTGCTGTGTTTCGTATGGTGTCTGTAGAGAACTGGAGATCCCTTTTACTGGTAACCAATATTCCATCTTATTCTATCTTAGTCTTCAGGGATGACAGCACATCTGCATTTTGATTCTTAATTAAGAATAGATATAGATGTCAATGAACCACAGCATCCATTTACCATTAGGTGGACTATGTGCTCGTTTGTCACCCTAATTCTACAAAAAACCTCAGTAATAAGATAGCATCTGAATTGCGGCAGTTACGACCCGGCAGTCGCGACCAATATCTAATACCTTCTATCGCCACCCTGACAAGTATTACAACAATAAGTATTTGGATAGCACCGGCCTCGATTAGTGGTGACTATCACTGGTGTGGATGGTCGTATACAACATGTAACATAATTAACGCACTTTGAGAAAGTAGTTTGTTCAGAATCGTTTACTGAATCGATTCCTATCATTTTTAATATAGGTAATTTTTTATCCCAAAAATAATTAAAACTACGTAAATTACAGTCACACTAAATCTGTACAGTCAAAACAAACTGAAATGGACTGTAACTTAAGGCAATAAGACCTTTAAGAGTGCAGTTTTATTTGTATTATTACTAATTCTATCATTCAATAAAAATAAAGAAAAATGAACTTTATTTCAATCACGTTAAAGTCTTTGCGTTTGTGGATTTGTACTGTGACCACAACATTCTTCCGGAATTAGAATAACTAATTTGATAAAATAATCAGTTCATAAAAATACACTAAAAATTCAGTGTATGTATAATGATTATAACATAATATACTAATTGGGGTGTCTGAGGGTGTGCGTTAATTACGTTACATATTGTATATGTCATGTGTTTGAGTATTTTGTTACCGACAAACTATACTCTGTAATTCTATTGAATACTTCGCCCTCTGATCACTTTTTTTATAGGAAAAGGATGACAAGCCAGCACACAGTCCGCCTGATGGTAAGTGGTTGCTGTGTCCCATAGACATCTACATCTATGCTCGTTTGCGAATCAAAATGCAAATGCGTTGTCAGCCTTAAAGACTAAGATGGAATGCCTCTTTTCCAGTATAAAGGAACTCCGGTTCTCTACACTCACCATATGAAACACAGCAGCAATAAGCTGCTATTTGACGCTGGTATTCTGTGGGAGCGTGGTCCTTCCCCTGTCGTGCCGACCCATTCGTGCTACAACACGTAAAAACACGTAAAAAAACTATGCGATGTTATTTAATATTTTGCTGAAGATAGGCCTCCCATATAGATCGCCTTATAGGGGATTTTTGCCAGAGTTGCCACGCTTGGCAAGCGCAGTTTATTATTTTTAGTCGTTATTAGGAAGACGCTGCTGCCCATCTCCTGATTTGTTTCCCTCCGTCGCGTCGCCTCTTACGTGGAGGATGATATGGGGTAGTTGATATTCTTACACCGCCACTACACGGTACTAAAGTGTTTGTTCAAAGCTAGGTACCTCATCCAAAAATAATAATATTTTTACCTGGCATTGAGTTTACCGCCATCATGCCTTGATTCTGTGAGGCGATAGGGTGAGGTGCGATTGGGATGAAATTAAGAGGACCTTGCCTATGCGCTTTTTCCACCTGCTGCGTATTCTGCGGTGCCAGCAATATATAACCACCTGAAAATATTACCTTCAGTAAAATCAAAACATAATCAATGGTAAGCGATACAAAAGCACGTCTTGTTGTCTAACTTGTGTAGCAAACTTGTCTTTCACCACGAAACCAAACAATGGAATAAACCGCCATTCTTGCTTATGGACTAGTACCGCAGCTGTGACGCAATCTCACTTGATTATTGTTTTTTTTTGTAGTGAAAACTTCTTTAGCGGCGTTGTACACTTTTTTGTAATGGGTAAATGTTAACCTCGCGTCAGGACACGTGACCTGATCGAAAATTCGTAAGACGGATGGAGAGTAGGAGAGAAAGTATCCCCCTCTCTTTCTACGGCGCGGCGAAATTGTGTGCCTGCGCCTGCTGTTACGTTTAGGTGGCGCAGGGCGCTTGCGCGAATGTAATATAAATTGTCATGTTTGTGTACGATAGCGCAATAAATAAATATTGTATTCTACCACATAAATTATAGTACTTTTATACTGATAATTAAAGCAATGGGTGCAAAATTATTCCCTAACCATTCCAAAATATGAAAAATGCACAGCGTTAATATTCAAGATTTCACTTCTGCCGGCACTCCCGGAGTACAACCCGTCGCTTTTTTTTAAATAGAATAAGTAGATACCTAGAGATGAAGAGATCTGAACACAGTCTATCTGATGGTAAGTAGATACTGCACCATGTTATTTCCGTTAACGATGAAGCTGTTGCAGCATGCGTTACATTACCTCATGTCAAAGTATCAGTTTCGTTAACGGAAATCTATGGATATGGATATGGATGACAAACGAACAAGCAAATATTCATTTTTATTTATAAGATGACACATAGCCTAGTCAACTCGCTAATTTAAAATTTAGGCCGCATTGAAGATTCGCGTCAAGAGTAATACAATAAAAAACTCCTAAAATCAAAATGTTATTCAGATACATTTGATGCTGGAAATTTTATGCATTTTTATTATTAAATTCTTCCCTACGTCATATTTTAATGATTGCCGTTTAATTTTGGATATCAATGATGCATCATTAGCAAATATTACTATATCTCAGATTATGCCTTGTAAGTCAATAATATATAATAGGAACAAAACTGGACCAATAAAAGAGCCCTGAGAAACGCAGAATGATAGGCAACCTGGGAGAAATTTAACCATTGATTACGATAGAACAGCAAGAGACTGGTCACAATATACTTGTGCTCGAGGCTGGGCAGATGATAATACAATCAGGGTTACTGATAAGCCTCTAGGCACTTAATGCCAAAAAATCTAGATGCACCAAGCAAATAACCTAGACCAAAAATATTTTAGAAATTTGTGCCCTAAAATGATAGTGATTCAAAAATTTCTGTACAAATTCTCACCTGTATTTGTCTTAACGGTTCCAATATGAACAAATGGCATTGATGACGTATCTGACGGTACGTACGACGTTAAGTTATGCAGTTGCCCAGCTGGCACCATATGTAATTGGCCAGCTGGTACGTTTTGTAATTGGCCAGTTGATACGTTTTGTAATTGGCCAGCTGGTACGTTTTGTAATTGGCCAGTTGATACGTTTTGTAATTGGCCAGCTGGTACGTTTTGTAATTGGCCAGTTGATACGTTTTGTAACTGACCAGCTGGTATGTTTTGTAATTGGCCAGCTGGTACGTTTTGTAATTGACCAGTTGATACGTTTTGAAATTGGCCAGCTGGTTGTAAAAATGACGACTGTTCTGCTCCAGGCAACATAATGGGATTTAATGGTGAGAACTGTTCGGGATTGGGTTGTTGAAGCGGATTAGGTTGTGGCACGGGATTAGATTGTGGAACGGGATTAGATTGTTGCACGGAATTAGATTGTGACACGGTATTAGATTGTGGCACGGGATCAGATTCTGGCACGGGATTAGATTGTCGCGTAGGCATTGATTTTACAGAGGTGACTTGCATTTGCGTTGGTTTTATGGGCGGAGCTTGAACCGGCGAAATTTGAAACGGTTCTGTGTGAGCTGTTTCTTGTTCGGGTAATTGTGATGAAGACTGTTGATTTAAAACCTGTGACAATATATGATGTAACATTGAAGGAGTTATTGTATTTTGTGTAGAGGCATTTACTGTAGACGCTGTTGGAGTTAGTAAGGGTTGTATTATTCTGGTATCCGAAGATTCATTTGTTACCGCACTCGCATAATTCTCAACATCTCTCTGATTTTGTTGCATATTAGCCAACGAGCAAACATCAGTTATGATCGGTGCAAAATTGTTTTCATCTAACGTATTCTCATTATTGCATAAAGCCGAATGTTCTTGATTGCTGGGTACATAATTTATTAAATTTTGCATTGCATTCAAATTTTGGTTTTGTTCAATAACTTGGAAATTAGATTCTGGCCTTTGTTCATCAGGCGAATCAGTAAGATCTATGACATGAACCACAGCAGCCGTTGTACGTATATTTGAATCTAATCGATTGGCAAGGTAACAATCGACACCGACGTCACTTGTTCTTATAATTTTCGATGTCAATGGGCTAGTTCTTGAAGATTGATCTGATTTAGAAAGTTTAGACTTTTTAGCAATTGATTGATCGTTTTCTTCAGTATTGTTTGCGGCGTTGGGAATCCTAAAATACTTAAGGGCCACATTCTTTTGTCGTAACCACTCTTGGTATTCATCTTGGTATGCTTCATTAGCTTGGTCATCTGATTTTCGTTTATTACCAATAGTCTTTGCCTTTCTTCGTTTGGTTCTTGTTTTTTTCAGCGATTCGTTTCCTTGTTTCGGTTCCTCAGTTTTATTCGTTTTACGTTTACGATGTGTTTGATCTTTTCTTATGGTGTCGACTACTATACTCAATTTTAAGTTGTCATCATCACTATCGCTTGAAATACATGTCGTTATATTTTCATTTGTATTCTCCGATTTTTTAGATTGCGTTTCGTTTGATTTTGCTGAGTTACTATCGTTTTCATGTTCAGTGTCAATATTTTCATTTTGTTTATGATTTTCACTCTCCTTGTTATTTGCATTTGCATCTACGAAGAGAAAGACAATTGTTATAAAGCGATTTTAAAAACGGCTTGAATTTAATTAATTTGCATTGTGCGATAACTACTTACCTACACATGTCTTTCCATTTTGCTCTACGAATTTCTGAAAAAGAAAACATGATTATATAATAATAATGTACTCAAGAACGAATTTTGGTCACGGCGACCAGCCTCAACGGAGACTAGTCATCGGCGCAGGACAACGGCTTTACGTGCTTTTCGAGGCACGGAAGTGAGACACTGTCAACTTCCTGACTCCGGGCAGGCAGACTCAGGGCCCGACCCGGGATTCGAACCCTCCTGAACTCATGATCAGCAGTCGCACTACTACAACCACTAGACCAACGAGGCAGTCACATGATCATATAATAATTGGTTATATTGATTTTATTAGTTTCAGTATTCTGAAAAAATGCCGTTATGTAGTGCCGTGCAGAATCCATATTCACTTTTTGCCTCTAAGTAAAAGGCGACTATGGAAAACTTGACTGACTTCCGATAAAAGGAGGTATATTGTCCGTTCATTTTAACTTGACGCGTGAGTGATTGATAGCACTGTTTCTTCAGCCGTCATCTTTCTGTGTATGTGATCGGTTGCTATATGTGTGCTCTTTTGCTTTTTAATTAGTTAATCTTAGTTTTAAAAATGCCGAAAGTGGTTAAAACTGTTAAACGGCTAACTATTCTTTAAGTTTACGCATTATATGAAAAAGAAAAGGCTGAAAACAAGCTGATTAAGGCATTGCTACAAGTTCATGCCCGAGTTGCTGCCATGACCAGTATGTTTTTAGGGTGACCAGACAAAGACTTAGACTAACAACAGTTTTTAGAATGCTAAATGATATTAAAAAAGTTGTAAAATTTTCTAAACAGATTTCATACAGATTTATTCGAATTTACTGTAACCCGAATTTTGAGACGAGAAAGAGAGACCAGTTTTTCAAATTTAGGTGTGCCTGGTACATCAAAAGTAACAACACCTGAAAAAAAAACAGGTATGCATGCATCTCAAGCACTAGGTTGCGCAACCACTAGGCAGTCGAACGCACTTAGCGCTAACAGTTAAGCCTTAAAAACTTCTTTATTTCGTATTAGTAAGGGCATTCATTTCAAGAGAAGCGGACTATTGTCTACTTAGATGAAACATTTATTCATTCTTCATATGGGGTCCAAAATTTTTGGCAGTCAGATTCTAAAGAAGGTGTATTGGTCAGAGGATTCAGGTACGGGTAGGCGATGGATAATTGCACACGCTGGAATTACAGACGGCTTCATTAATAATGAGTTACTGCCATAAGAATACTATAATACATATATAATAGAACGGGGGAGTGGGCGGAGCCCCCGTAGCCACTAAGATGTCAATTCACACGTATAAATGTCAACACAATCAATCGTTTCCAATTTTCGTGTCAAGAGTTGCTGAATACATGCTCTTATATCCCGTTCCATAATGCATATCCCTACATTTCGGGAACGCCATTCGCATTGAAACATGCAACACTAAATTACAGGGCTGCCAATCGGATTACGCGTCAAGTTACTATGAACCGACAATAAATATTCCATTTATGCTAATAATACAACCCAGCGACGGGAAGCACCAAGATGCGAGACTTCTCGTATTGCAATCGTCATATTTTCCTGTCAGGAGTGTTGATTATGGGAAACTTTCTCTACAGTAGAAGGGTCTATGTACAACAGTGGACTTTAGCGGGCTGATGAGGAAGCAAAAAGTTCTATAAAATAGTGACTGGCGCTGACTGTAGCTAGTATAGAATAGTTAACGAGTAAAAACAAATTTTTTATTATCATTCATGATTTTCGAACGATATTTCGATATTTGAAATTCATATAGATATTTGAAATTATGACAAATATCACTGTTACAATAAAGAAAACTTCTTTACATACATCTAGTTCCCCAGCAAAAGTAAAGCATAGCCGAAATAGAGACATCTCTATTAAATATGTTCTTACCTCTCGTAAATTATTATATTCCCATTTCCTGATCATATTAATTACATCCCTTGCTAATTTCTTCTCATCTGCAAAGAACTTTTGCTGAGACCGGTCTTTCTTATTGGTAGTCATCTCATTATCTGTATTTGTGGGAAAAGTCATAGTACCGCACCGACAGGTCAAACGCGATGTTGTGCTATAAAATATTATAGAATTAAATATGATATTAATTTAATTTGATATACCTAAAGATAAAGAATAAAAGAGGACCTAGCATGTTACTAAAGAACTCGCAATGTTTAAAAGATCGAGTAAATAGTCATAAATACGTAGAAATTTCTCCTCCAAATGGAGTTACTTTAAGAGTAGTCATCTTAGACATAGACGCAGGATGGACTAAGTTTGAATCCCCTTTTCTGCAATTTTGATTTGGTTTTCTTGTTTCCCTACAAATGTGCTGCTATTCGAAGCGTGTGTGCTCCAGTTGCATTCTGGTTGTTCCTCGAATGGGTCAGAACCCCAGCGTATAACGCTTTGAGCTGTTGCTAATGTAGGGAACCAGTTAGTGGTAGTGTAGAGAACCGCAGACTCTTTTTATTGGTATCGAGGCATGCAATCTTAGTCCTCAGGGGTGTCTATGGACCATAATATCCACTAACCATCAAATGGATCCTTATTTCTATAAATAAACACACAAACTTCAGAACCCATGATAGCTTGATGTTTATATGTAATTAAATAATCGAATTTAATCTTTTTAAAATAATGAGAGCTGTGGTAGCTCAGATGGTTACCGCTCGCTGTAAATTTCACAGTGCGCGAGCAAACTGGGTTCGAACCCTCGAAACCCTGGGTTCGAACCCTCGAAACCTTGGGTTCGAACACTCGAAATCCTGGGTTCAAACCCTCGAAACCCTGGGTTCGAAACACCAATGAAATTGGTGAAGGAAAACATTGTGACGAATAATGCATATCTGAGAAATAAGGAAAAAATATATTGCGAAGACGTTCAACACGCATTGGGGCAGCGCTGCGGACATTTCCATGCTCAACAGGGGCACGTATATAGGCTGTAACTTTACTTTAAATTATTGTGTCCCATTCGTTTTTTTTTCTATCTGAAACATTATTAAGAAAAATAACTTACATTATATTTTCAACTACATTCTCGTTTTCGCCATCGGTAGTCTTCGGCTCGCTTTGTTTCGCAGTTTCATGCACACGCGTCTAAAGGGAATTATAAATAAGTTAAATTAAGGAAAAAAAAAACTCCCATAACTCTTTAAATTAGTATTTAAAAGCATTTAATAAGTACATTTATATAATAAGATAGGTTAAACATATATTCTTATTTCATTTCCTATTATACGTATCCTAAAGATACTAAATAAATAAATAGTATATTTATAGTGCACTCTACCCATTATTTAACTTTTCACTTATTTTTATTTCCTATTTAGGTTGTCTGGAAGAAATTGCTGCACAGCAATAAGACCGCCTTTTGTTTTTCTCTTTGTTTATTTCTTGTTATGTTGTTTTCTTAGTGTTAAATAAAGGGTATTGTATTGTATTGTAAAATTATATAATTTTTTAGTAAAAATTCTACGTTAAACATTAAATAAATAAACCAAAAATCAAAACTTACAATGTAATTTTGTTGTAAATGGTCAATAAAATATGGAATAGATAGTTAGAATTTTATTAAATATCTTAATCAATATAGATTATAAATAATAGTTATTGAAAGTCACTCTCATGTTTAAATTACCACTAATTCGGAAAATACAGAGGTATTTCCTAGGAAGAACAAGAAACACAGTGGGACATTTTTTATTAAAAAAAGTTAATAATGATGACTTATGTTACACATGTAACTAAAACCATATTAGAAATAGCTTGGTAGCGATCACCTCACTATCAGGGGTTTATATAATCCATAAATCCTTTTTTTATTATAAAATCCTTTTTTATGCAATCTTTATTTAATAATGTATTGAACGTGGCATTAGACAAATTTTGTTTATATAATGCTCAGATATTAACAGGAGTACCCTTAACCGACGAGCATGTATGCGTAGGTGTATGGATGTGAAGGAGACGAGAGAGGTGTGTCAGGATCGTGCCAAATGGAAGTCTGTAGTCTCTGCCTACCCCTCTGGGTGACAGGCGTGAGTGTTTATATATTTATGTATTACTAGGCTGCACTAAAAATATCGGGAATGTAATATTTCCACTGTTCCTGTCATATTAAAATCTTTTTAATTGAAAACTCGAATTTTTGAATTTGAATTTGAATCGAATACCATTTATTTATTTAAAAAAAGATTCTCGTTCTTGTCACAAGGTTTTGTCAAACTTGTTTAGTCGTTGAGAAAATGGAATTGACTCGAGAAAATTCAAGAGCGATGATTTATTATGACTTTCGAAGTGGTTTAACACAAAAACAGTGTGTTGACCGGATGATTTCTGCATTTGGTGATGAAGCCCCATCCAAAACCACAATTTATCGCTGGTTTGCCAAATTTCTATGTGGACGTGTCAAGCTCAGTGATGATCCCCGTCAAGGTCGTCCAAAAACTGCAGTCACCCATGAAAACGTTGATGCTGTGCGTAAGCTGATTGAGGAAGATCGACATATGACATACCGCGAAATTCAGGCAACTTTAGACATTGGCATGAGTCAAATACAAATAATCTTGCATGAACAATTAGGTGTAAAAAAGTTGTTTTCCCGATGGATACCGCATTCGCTCTGTGAAGAGCAAAAAGCGGCTCGCGTTACTTGGTGCGTCAGAACTCTCGAAAGATTCCACGCAGGATCCTCAAATGCTGTATACAACATCGTATCAGGTGACGAATTCTGGATATACGCGTACGAACCCGAAACAAAAAACCAGTCACGTTTGGGTGTTCGAAAATGAGTTAAACCAACAAAAATTGTTCGTTCACGGAGTGTTGCAAAAAAAAATGGTGGCCACGTTTGTCTCCAAAACCGGCCATGTTACGACTATTCCTCTTGAGGGACAAAGAACGGTTAATGCAGAATGGTATGCTAGCATTTGTTTGCCACAGGTCGTTTCTGAACTCCGTAAAGAGAACTGCAACCGCCGCATCATCCTCCATCACGACAATGCAAGTTCTCACACCGCAACACAGAACAAAAGAGTTTTTAGAGCAAGAAAACACAGAATTATTAAACCATCCGCCGTACAGCCCCGACCTAAGCCCTAATGATTTCTATACTTTCCCTAAAATAAAGAATAAATTGCGTGGACAGAGATTTTCATCACCTGAAGAAGCTGTGGACGCCTACAAAACGGCCATTTTGGAGACCCCAACTTCCGAATGGAGTGGTTGCTTCAATGATTGGTTCCATCGTATGGAAAAATGTGTCAAATTTCGCGGAGAATACTTCGAAAAGCAATAAAAACATTTTTAAATAGTAATGTAAATGTCACTCCCTTGATTCACGAAATTTTCAGTGCCGCCCTTGTATGTATATAAACATTGTGGAGTTTGGGTTTGAATAAAAGACTTAGCTTAATGCATCGCGATTATTACATGGGATGTCTTAAATCATTTATTCTTAGGGACCCTCAAGATAAAAGGAGCCGATGCCAAACAGTGAGTTGATTATAGAATAATGTTGTTATAAGTGTGTGTGTGTGTGTGTGTGATAATGCGTGTGATTGATGCTTACCCACAGTAACTCCAAAAGTTTCTGGAGTTCAACTTGATTTGGTTTAGAGGTGTTTTTATTCTTATTTCTACTATAGTTGGTTTGTGTACGAGCGATGCTACCTAAAACCAAAAACACAAAATGTAATTAATATTTTATATTGACGAGCAGTGCCTTCATTAGAGCTTTTTAAACCTTCGTCGCCCTCGTCCCAAGTGCGGTCCCAACACTAAATTAAATTAAGTATTTCTTGGACCATAAACTATGTTATCAGATGCAAGAAAAAAGAAAAAAATCAACAGTTTTATATTTGGTAAAAAATGTAAATTTTGTTTTATTTACATTAAGGCTCAACATTAAGGGTTTGTTTTTAGCCAATTACGAATATGGTGAATATCATTATATTCACGGATAACTCTTAGATTTTCCTATGATGTGTTAAAGACAAGAGCGGTGTCATCTGTATTTTGTAAGCTGTAACTGTATAGTTCGTTCACATAAATTAAAAATAAGTTAGGCCCGTGGACGCTACCTTGAGGAAACACTTAATATATTTGATAGACGGCTAAGATATTCACCAGTTTTGAGATGTAGTTGACGATCAGTGGGATAATCTGATAGACGCGCATGGGTCAGACCTTACATATCTTAGTTATATTGTATGTCTAACAGGATAGAAATAGAAACAGTGTCAAACGCCAAATCCAAAAAAAACTCTAACACATTTGTACACAGAAGACCAATGAAATGGTTAATTGTAAGTTTAAGTGTTACTTTAGCACGTGATTGGTGAAGGGAAACATTGTAAGGAAACCTACATGTATACAAAATAATTCTTTATAAATACTTGTAGGTTTCCTTACAATTTAATTTTTGACTTCAATATTTATAACATATTATATTTAACAAAAATAAAATAATTTAATATTTGAATTAAATATTCTAAGGACATGTGGAGTCCCTCAACACGCAGTGGAGCAGTGATGTGGACTAATCGCTTCATAACCCTCTCAGAAATTGGAGGAAAACTGTTTCCAGCAGTAAAGCGTGTAAGTGCTGTAACATTACTTAACTTTTGATATCTCTGAACCTAGAGGCACTCAGTCAGCCATGATACTTTAGGTGCTGATGATAGAAAAGGGAAGTTTCTTCACCAGACAAAATGTTCAGCCTAGGAAGCGGCAAACTTTTCTTGCGATAATACAATGTTCGATTATTCAATTGATCGGAAACTTCATTAGCGCGATTTAGGACTCAGTCATTGACTTATGTCCGTACACTTCTGTTATAGGCACACGTTAAAGCCTGTATCGCAGTGCGTAACTACGTTTTCATTAACTCGCTTTGTTCTCCGTTTATCTATTCGGTATTTACTTCCTGATAAACTAGACTCGAAACTTTAAACAAAGCTCGGAACTAGAAACGTGATTCATTTTGGACGCTACTTTGAATTGTTACAGTTGATAACATACCTTTAACACGTGACTTGCGACCAGCCGTCTGTGTCCAGCGATATACATCCGACGCCTATTAACAATAAATACATAATTATAGTAATAATACTTTTAAGAACATCTAGCAATTCGTCTATGTAAGTAGTGTAGGCAGATTGGCTATCGCAAATACCAGAAGTGGCTCACAAGTTTGAGGTTGCTTCCCACAGGGCGTTGGATATTTCATCTGCCATTCATCAGTAGTGGTGGTGTAAAAGATCTATCACCCTATTTCGTCACGTAAGTATCGTAAAAGACGAGTAAAGCAAATGTCAGATTGAATGGCTCCGATAAATGGCAGTATAATTTTTTTTATAGAATAAGGGTGACAATCAAGCACACAGTCCACATGCCAGTAATTGGTAGCATATATACTCGATTAAGAATCAAATTGCAGATGTGTTGTCATCCCTAAGTACTAAAAATTCCAAGAAAAAGGGTATCCGGTTCTTTACACTCTATTCGAAACACAGCAGCATTGAGCTGCTATTTCACGCTGATATTCTGCGTCGTACGTCCGCGGTTGAGTCGACCCATTCGTACTATAACCCGCTACGACTCGAATACGTAAAAATATCTTGTTAACGCCAAGCGAAAAACAGAGATAACGGGGACCATTGTTAAAGGTACGATACGTCTGCTATTACGTCGTCATTGGCAGGTAGACCTGCCAAATGTGACACTTAAGGCCAATCCCCTTAACTACGGAAGAGGCCCATGTTAAGTGTACTTTTAGAATAGAATAAGTCATTTATTGAGTTAGTTGTAATTTTTAGAAATTTAACATTATACTAATAATTAAGTATTACCACAACCTGCTTAGATTCATACTCAACCAAATGTAAGATATATCTTTTGACGTTTCACATTAATAATTTCGCAATAACTTTGTACATGCGTGCTCACACGATTTAAAATAACCCTTTACTTAAATCCAAAGAATTATAAAAAAAATCTTTATGTTATTACAACATATATAGTTCTGTATCACTATTTAAAATACGAATCTTTCAAACACTATAAAAATAATTACTAGAATCAACTTTTATGCTTGACGTTGTTTCAATGATATGTCTCTACTACATAATCTTTGTTTACAATATAATTAACGAAGTATTTCAAAAGTCAATTAATTTAGAATGTAAGTTTGTAGCTAAAACACAGTATTGTACTTTTACGCAGCAGGCATATTTACGTAAAAGTGTACGTGTAGTTACGTAGCAGTGTATTTTTACGCAGTAATGTCCTTTTTTCTAGGATAAAGAACGAAGAATGAACTCAGGAAATAGAGTAAATGGGGCTCTACACTCTATTTTGAAAAGTCAGAATGTGTCAAAAAAGGCACGTATGGCAATTCACAATGCTGTGTTAGTCCCTACTTTAATGTATGGTACTGAAAGTTGGGTGTGGCAGAAGAGGCACGAGAGTAAAATGACAGGATGAGAAATTGTTGGATAAGAGAAGAATGTAGTTTGCAAGATAATGTTGTGACCAGGATTAAGAAAGGAATGCTTCGGTGGTTTGGTCATGTAAAAGGAATAAATGAGGAAAGAGTGACAAAGCAAATTTATATTGCACAAGTGAACGGCAGTGTCGGAAAGGGACGTCCTAAGCGAAAATTTATCGAACAAATTGGTAGTATATTCAAAATGGGACAAATTAAGAGTTCCCTGAATCGACAAGCACGTATACGTAGGTAAATCGATGTGGAGGATGCGAGAGAGGTGTCAGGATCGTGCCAAACGGAAGTCTGTAGTTTCTGCCAACACATCTGGATGACAGGTGTGTGTTCATGTATGTATGTATGTATGTACTTTTACGCAGCGGTGCACCTTCACGGGCTGTTGAAGAAATTATAAGATAGTAGCCACCTTTTTGAAGCCATGAGGTCTTGCTGGGTTTTACCATCGTAGCCTCTTACAAGACCCACGGGACAAAATGGGATTATGGATTTTCTTGTTAGTTACGTTAGTTTCATCATCATCATCATCACAGCCCATTATTGAATGCCACAAAGTAAGGTCCTGAGCCATCCTATCGACTTCCTGCATTTCTTACCAGGTCGTCACTCCAGAAGGAGGCTCCCATACACTTAGCTTATCGGCACGAGGCTGCCAATCGCGAAACTTTCTTTCTTATCAGTTAACGGTTCTTCGAGGTATAAAGCGGTCCATTGCCACTTCAGCTAACTGATACGATGAGCTATGTCGATCTAGATTCAACTATTGATATCATTATTTTGAAGTTTCTCACACAGAGAAACTCCCAGTTCGTTAAGTTTATTCATATAGTCAGCAGTGAAGGACCGCGTCTCAGATCTCTCTCGTTCTCAAGTGTTGACGTATATTTGAAGAGAAGATGTATCGTAATCTCTTGAACACTGCCCAGCTGAGTTGGATTCTTCGATTGGACTAAGTTAGTTTAGTTTTATGTTATAAGCTGAATAGCCAGAAAAAAATCTGATAAAAATAACAAAATGACTTACTGAATACTGTCCATGTCCATCCACGGTCACGGGGGCCACTTGTGCCGTCAGAATCGTCTTGTTGATTTTCCGCACCTCGTCAATATTCGGCAGTTCTATTTTCTTCGCTACTCTCACCAGTCTGGGCTTATCCACTAACTCCTCCTTATTGGTGAACATCAAAGGCAATCGCTCCAAGACTACGCTGAGCGGTCTGCATAGACTCAGAAAATACAGGTTCAATTCATTACTCAGAAAAGCTCTAGACAGTGATTTTAATTTATAATTAAAATCTGGGTGTTTAGCGAATTTCTGACTGTTGCGTAATCCATATCCTTCAGATTCCTTCGTCGCTGATGAATTCTTTCTCGTTCGTTTTGGTTTCAAACGACTGTGCTTTAGTGGAAGGAACTGTTTCGCGGGAATATTTCGGATGTTTATGGAATTGTTTTTAAAATGCCTTTTCCATGTTGGTGTCAGGTCACACTTGACCAAGGGTACTGCGGGAACCATCATAAGTTTCGGATCTGTAAGGAACAATAAACTAAATAAGGTGCATGTTAAAATAATTCTGTGTTGATAGGACTTTACCTATGAATTTACCGTTCTGCAGTACTGGCCATTTCAAATCAAATACATTTTGTTTGGTTAATCATTTTGCTTTCAAATTAATATTGATTAGCGTTATATTTTCATCGCATTTGAATTTTCTCGTCATCATGGATACGTTAAAACTTCAAGTATTTATGGAATGAGTACCGCCGTGGAAGCGACGCGACACAATCGGCACGCAACATCAACGACGTTTACGGAACGAATACTACAAACGAAACGCACCGCCTGTTATTACTTCGCCCGCTTCTGTTCCGGAAATTTCGACCAGAAAAATGAACTCCATGGTCGTCCGAAAACTTTGGTCGACAATGACGAATTTAAGGAGATTGTGGAAGCTTTCGACGTTAGCATCAAAGCAATATTAAAAATTTAGATTAAGGCAAGGTAAACATTAAGAGAAGATAAAAAAACTTGACAAATGGGTACACCACGAACTCAATAATCGCCAGTGCAAAGTACGCGTAGACATTTCTTTGTTTGTGTGCCTGTTGGGCAGTGCGACGTGCTTTTCACTTTTTATCTGCGACGAAAAATCGATTCTGTTTGACAATCGCAAGCGCTCAGCAAGTTGGTTGGATCGTGATTCAGCACCTAAGCAATGCCCTATACGAAAACTTATCCCTACAATTGATGGTCACTTTTTAATGGTCTAGCGCCGGAGTGATTCATCACAACTTCTTACCAAACGAGTTGAGCATCACTGCAGATGTACACTGTGAAGAATTAAACACAATGATGGGGAAGCTCGCACGTCTCAAACCAGCTTTGGTCAATCGCTCGTCCCAGCTGCTCCTGCAAACGACGCGGGACCTCATGCTGCACAACAGACGGTCTCCACGTTACAATAGCTGGGGTTGGAAGCTTACCGTCACTCGCCGAGCTCACCAGACCTTGCGTCTACAGACTTCAGCTTTTTCCAGAATTTAGATAACTTTTTGGCCGGAAAAATATCTATACTGGACAGGCAGTACAAAATGCCTTTAAAAATCTATACTGGACAGGCAGTACAAAATGCCTTTAAAAAATCTATACTGGACAGGCAGTACAAAATGCCTTTAAAAAATCTATACTGGACAGGCAGTACAAAATGCCTTTAAAAAAATCTATATTGGACAAGCAGTACAAAATGCCTTTAAAAATCTATACTGGACAGGCAGTACAAAATGCCTTTAAAAATCTATACTGGACAGGCAGTACAAAATGCCTTTAAAATCTATATTGGACAGGCAGTACAAAATGCCTTTAAAAATCTATATTGGACAGGCAGTACAAAATGCCTTTAAAATCTATATTGGACAGGCAGTACAAAATGCCTTTAAAAAATCTATACTGGACAGGCAGTACAAAATGCCTTTAAAAAAATCTATATTGGACAGGCAGTACAAAATGCCTTTAAAAATCTATACTGGACAGGCAGTACAAAATGCCTTTAAAAAATCTATATTGGACAGGCAGTACAAAATGCCTTTAAAAATCTATACTGGACAGGCAGTACAAAATGCCTTTAAAAAATCTATACTGGACATGCAGTACAAAATGCCTTTAAAAATCTATATTGGACAGGCAGTACAAAATGCCTTTAAAATCTATATTGGACAGGCAGTACAAAATGCCTTTAAAAATCTATACTGGACAGGCAGTACAAAATGCCTTTAAAATCTATATTGGACAGGCAGTACAAAATGCCTTTAAAAATCTATATTGGACAGGCAGTACAAAATGCCTTTAAAAATCTATACTGGACAGGCAGTACAAAATGCCTTTAAAATCTATATTGGACAGGCAGTACAAAATGCCTTTAAAAATCTATACTGGACAGGCAGTACAAAATGCCTTTAAAAAATCTATACTGGACATGCAGTACAAAATGCCTTTAAAAATCTATATTGGACAGGCAGTACAAAATGCCTTTAAAATCTATATTGGACAGGCAGTACAAAATGCCTTTAAAAATCTATACTGGACAGGCAGTACAAAATGCCTTAAAAAATCTATAATGGACAGGCAGTACAAAATGCCTTTAAAAATCTATATTGGACAGGCAGTACAAAATGCCTTTAAAAATCTATACTGGACAGGCAGTACAAAATGCCTTTAAAATCCATATTGGACAGGGAGTACAAAATGCCTTTAAAAATCTATACTGGACAGGCAGTACAAAATGACTTTAAAAATCTATATTTGACAGGCAGTAAAAAATGCCTTTAAAATCTATACTGGACAGGCAGTACAAAATGCCTTTAAAAATCTATACTGGACAGGCAGTACAAAATGCCTTTAAAAAATCTATACTGGACAGGCAGTACAAAATGCCTTTAAAATCTATATTGGACAGGCAGTACAAAATGCCCTTAAAATCTATATTGGACAGGCAGTACAAAATGCCTTTAAAAATCTATACTGGACAGGCAGTACAAAATGCCTTTAAAAAATCTATACTGGACAGGCAGTACAAAATGCCTTTAAAAAAATCTATATTGGACAGGCAGTACAAAATGCCTTTAAAAATCTATACTGGACAGGCAGTACAAAATGCCTTTAAAAAATCTATACTGGACAGGCTGTACAAAATGCCTTTAAAAATCTATACTGGACAGACAGTACAAAATGCCTCTAAAAAATCTATACTGGACAGGCAGTACAAAATGCCTTTAAAAATCTATATTGGACAGGCAGTACAAAATGCCTTTAAAAATCTATATTGGACAGGCAGTACAAAATGCCTTTAAAAAAATCTATACTGGACAGGCAGTACAAAATGCCTTTAAATATCTATATTGGACAGGCAGTACAAAATGCCTTTAAAAATCTATATTGGACAGGCAGTACAAAATGCCTTTAAAAAATCTATACTGGACAGGCAGTACAAAATGCCTTTAAAAATCTATATTGGACAGGCAGTACAAAATGCCTTTAATAAATCTATACTGGACAAGCAGTACAAAATACCTTTAAAAATCTATATTGGACAGGCAGTACAAAATGCCTTTAAAAATCTATATTGGACAGGCAGTACAAAATGCCTTTAAAAAATCTATACTGGACAGGCAGTACAAAATACCTTTAAAAATCTATATTGGACAGGCAGTACAAAATGCCTTTAAAAATCTATATTGGACAGGCAGTACAAAATGCCTTTAAAAAATCTATACTGGACAGGCAGTACAAAATGGCTTTAAAAATCTATATTGGACAGGCAGTACAAAATGACTTTAAAAATCTATACTGGACAGGCAGTACAAAATGCCTTTAAAAAATCTATATTGGACAGGCAGTACAAAATGCCTTTAAAAATCTATATTGGACAGGCAGTACAAAATGCCTTTAAAAAATCTATATTGGACAGGCAGTACAAAATGCCTTTAAAAAATCTATATTGGACAGGCAGTACAAAATGCCTTTAAAAATCTATACTGGACAGGCAGTACAAAATGCCTTTAAAAAATCTATATTGGAAAGGCAGTACAAAATGCCTTTAAAAAATCTATTATCCCACGTCCAGTTGATTTTTTCAAAAAGGGCATCAATAATTTGCCACTGCTGTGATTACTTTGAGTAATATAAAAACATAACAAGGAAAAAGTTGTGTTAACTTATTTCATAAAAAAACGGCAATTTCATACGTAACCTAATAATTCGTTAAGCAACATAACTAGCCAGAACCAGTAGTTTAAATGTAAGAAAAAAATGCACTATTTGTCTATTAACAAGTCTAAAAACTACATAACACAAGAAATGTAGAAAATAATATTATTATAGTATTAGCATAGAATAGAATAGAATCATTTTTATTCAGTACAGATTATATGTAATACCTATTGAGTCAGTTTTTGCTTTTAACACTGGTTCGGGAAAAAAACCTCTGTCCTGGGAAGAACCAGCAAGAAACCCAGCGGATTTTTAAAAAACACAATTTACAATATAACATATATACAGTTGTTATGAAAACATTAAGAAATAGCGCAAGAAAAAGCATATTAGTAAGAGAATACACCAAACCATAACTCTATAGTTTCCGGATGTCTACACTCACCATAACACAGCAAGCATTAAGCTGACATTCTGTGAGACATGATCCTTCCCCAGTCGAGCCATCCCATTCGCGCTACAATATAGCTGCAGCGTGACTCTACTGTTAGGTAATTTTATGATATCAAATAAGAGTATATTACAACTAAACGGGATTTTGCTTTACCTTCAGTCTTTTTAGTGTCAATAAAGTTCTTCGTCCCTTCAACTCTCACTTCTAAATATGGATCGTTGTTTATTTCATTTATGTCAAATTGGCCTGTATTTAAGTTCGCTAAGCCTTTTTCCACTAGTAACTCATTGTTATCAGTTTGAACTTTACTATTTAGTGATTCATCATTGACATTCGTAATGACTGGTCTTAAGTGCGAACCGTTTTCATTTTGTTTACATACATCAAAAGTGTTTGTATCTTTCTTATTATCTTCGGACTCTGAATCACTGTCAAAAATAACACTAATTTGTGCTTTTGCTGGGTCTATAGTATTTAAAATATCTACACTTGAATCTATCAACGAGGGCGTTTTTTGAGTTTCTTTGGTGTTTTCTTTTTCGGATATTATCGAACTTCTTGATTCATTGTCTATTACTTCAGTATCTTTAATTTCATTTACAATAGATGAGTTATCTTTGTCACCTTTGGAATTTGTATTTTTATTTGACACATCTAACTCTTGACTGTTGACATCGTTCGTTAATACTGATTTTAGAACTTTATCTAAAAGTTGTGAACCATAGTAGCCTTCTGTGGAATAAGAGCGGTAGTGTTAGTAACCAATAAATATATCAGATACACTTAAATAATATTTTCAATACAAGATTGCATGTCCTAAGCATGACATTAAGTTTTTTATAAGATACGGATCGAACACACAGTTCACCTGATGATAAGTGGACGTTGTGGCCCATAGATATCTATATCACAACTTTCCATCTCACACATACATACATATTTTTTGGCTAAACGTGGTCCGAGTAGCTCGCAGCTCATTGCACTTTGCCTACCACATCAGGGATTATCAGCGTAAAGCTACGTATATAAGTGACAGCTGATATAATTTCAACATTTAAAACAACTTGAACAGTCATCGTATTAGATATATCAGTTATGATATTAGATCATTTATTTCTTAAATATTCCTTAAACATCTTCAATAGAATGATTAGAAGTCAAGAAGTAAACAAAGAATAGTCGTTATAGAAACATACCAACACATATACAGGAAGATGTTTCGTAGTTGTTGTCGTCTTGTGTTTCGCACAGTGCCTTCTCGTATATTTCTTCACTAATATCCTAGAATTAATTAAACAAACAAATATAAACCTAAAATATTGTTTCACATTATTACGTATATTAGTAATTCGTGGTAGTCACGTTGCAGCTATACGAGTACTATGGTTGTAGAGGAGGACCACGTTTTCACAGAATACCAACGTAAAATTGCAGCGTAATAATTCTGTTTCGTATGGTGAGTAGAGGACTGGAGATCCTTTTTATTACCATTGTATGAGCATTACTTAGTCCAAATGACAGATTCTTATGTATCCTTGTTTAACGATTAAAATGTATATATTATTACCATTTTATTATAGAATAGGGTGACAAACGAGCACACAGTCCATGTCAGTCCAGTAAGTGGATGCTGTGGCCCATAGACACCTATATTTATCCTTCATTAAGAATCAAAATACAAATGCGTTGCCACTCGTGAGGACAAGATGAAATGCCTCGTTACAGCAGTCTCGTTATACAGTAAAGAGTCTCCGGTTCTCTCATACGAAACACAGCAGCATTAAGCTACTAATAGTAAAAAAAAAAAAAAAAAGAAACACCAGCTTAATACTCCTGTGTTCCGTATGGTGTGTGTAGAGAACCGTAGACCCTTTTACTGGAAAAGAGGCATTCCATCTTAATCCTCACGGGTGACAACGTATCTGCATTTGATTCGTAATCGAAGATATATGTAGATGTCTATGGCAGACAGCAACCACTTACCATCAGGTGGACTGTGTGCTCATTTGTCACCCTATCCTATAAAAAAAATGCGTGCGGGTCGCTCGGTTATAAATTTAGGTATCTTGTCACGCGTCTTCCCGCGCTTTTGTTCACCAAACCTGCTAAGTATCTACGTCCGCTCGGCCAGCCGACAGCTGACAGTGTGTCTGTGACATCATCACATACGAGTGTGCTATTTTTAAATTTTATTTTTTAAAACTGAAGTATAAGTTCTTATGTCATATCAGTTTTGTTGAAAAAAAAATCTGAGAGAACGTGGTCCTTCCCCATTCGTGCTACAACCACAATATAATAACTATTGTGTATCTACCACTTTAAAAAAAACTGCTGTACAATCCGGGCGAATCAACTAGGCACATTGCTGGAATGCAGCCCTCCTTGTGCTTCGTCGTACAGAACGTGCGACGTCACACATAAAATTCCATTGCTGAACATAGGCCACCTCCAGAAAGTGACTCCTAAGCATTTTGCCGTAGTTGCCATACATGGCAGGTTGGTAAGCAACCGCAGTTTTTAGTAATTTTCGGTTGTTATCAAGAAGATGCTACTCCCCATCTAGAAGATGCTACTCCTCGTCTGTTTCAGTTTCTCCCTGTCGGCTCTTAGAGTTCTTACACCGCAACTGTTAATTTGTTGTAAGTATGTGTAAAGCAAAAATTTCACGAACCTCAAATTCCACGACCTGCCCTGATTTCACTAGGTCTGGCCATGATGGAAACGGCTCTAAAACTACGTAGCTGAAACTGGAGACAAAATATTACTTCTTAATATTCGTATTTAGACTAACATTTAAAGGGTACAAGTCGCCGATATATCGTATAATAAGACAGATCATGTGCCTCGGGGTATTAATTAATAATGTACTAAGGTACATGAGGGTAACAAGGTGACCTTAAACTTTGTCGCCCTATAAAACCAAAACTAGGACAGGTATAAATACAAAAACACTGAGTTGCATACTATAACTAATATATTAATAAAAAATTGCAAACAAACTTTGGCAATAATTAGGAACACTTGGAAAAATGAACTTATAAAAACTTATTACATTACATAATACTAAAATCGACTAAAATATTTACTATAATATCAATATATATATACAGGTTGTCCGGTAATGAATGGATAACCTTGAAATGTCTTATAGTACAACTTATGGCTGTCCTGAAAAAAATACGAAAAATAATATATAATGTTCCCGTATTACAAATTTTGTTACTTAGTCAAATTTTCTCCTTTTCTACATTAATGGCAATAAGTCACTATTTATGGAAAATACATTTATGAATTATACCATTATAAAATCTACACGAAACCGATATTATTGTAAAATTATTGGTCACCCATACATTCATACATTTTTTTCATACCCAAGAGGTTTGAACTTCGCTTAAATAATATTTTTGTATGTTTTTCAGAAATAAATTGATTTGCGAATTTTTTTAAATAAAAACTGCAAAAGCTATTCATATTGTTTTCATTTTACCTATAAGCACAGTTAGTGTATAATAATAATATAACAAAAAACCAATAGAAATCATTCATTTTTGGTCATAGTGTTCAAGACAGTAAAATAAGATAGAAAAGAATCGAGTTTTCTTTAAAAAAATATATCAAAGGTACTACTTGTGATACATTATTTTTCGTATTTTTTTTCAGGACGGCCATAAGCTGTACTATAAGACATTTCAAGGTTATCCATTCATTACTTGACACCCGATATATATATATATATATATATATATATATATATATGTATATATATATATATATATATAATATCATTTTGATCTCTTATCACTTGATTGACCTATGAAATACGTGTGGCACTCGGTGACTGCCACGGTAAAGCTATTGCATAGCATTTTTTATCCACTTATGCAATTATAATTATTTATTTATTTTATTTATGCAGTTAAGTCTTTGATATTAAATCAAGTTACACTTTTTGAGAGTGGTGACCGATAAGAAAACAATTTTTTTCTCTTATTGAATAAATGAGAAGATAATATTGTTTAAAATATTTTTAATATCTTACAATACATGTAGGTTATTCAGGAATTTTTATCATTGAGTTAGCAGCTAGTGTACACGCATACGTCTAGTCGCACGCACACAAACACCGTGCCGAAGTCTGCCGAGTGCCGAAGTCTGCCGAACTGAAACGACGTTAGACGATGCACGGCTTTCAACGCCACACCTCCGTGCCCGTCGGAGTGGGGAGCGTGAGGTTTTTTTTCGTCACGGAATTTCTGGATTCGGTCCCCGCGCTCAAGGCCCGCGATAGAAGCTATGCAATGCTGTAGTTTGTAAGTTGTAAGAAAGTGACATATTAAGCGGATGACCACATTACCCTCAAGTATTATAGTAGAATATTTTTTTATTCAATATAGATTACATGTATGTAATTCCTATTGAAAGTAATTTTTTTACTTTTACCAGTAGTTGCCGAAGGGTCGAAATTCAATCATCATTTACTAAATTTTATGTTTGTATATTAAGCAAGCTCTATTATATACACTTTCAAATCTCAATATAATTGTATTATCTATATCTAGACTTTCAATTGTACATTAATATAAAATAAATGTTTCTTTGCCTTGACCTACATTCCACATACTGTTATGGAATATTAAGAAATCACAGCTGCAAATTGACCATCTGGTTTTCTTTTTTCGTTTTTGCTTTGGCGATAATCTCTACTCTGTGCGACTGTTTGATCATAGCATATTTAAAATGTGGTGATTATAATATACTCTTTGACTATTTTGTATAACAATTGATTTTGTATGACAATTGACATTGAAATTATGAATGTAAACAATGAATTTTTATTTCATTTATTATGATGTGTTTGTGACCATCATGATATTTGTTATGTGTGTGTCTGGGATGTTATTGTGACCTTTTGCAGCCTGACCTAGAAATCCTAACAAGATGGTGTCATGATGCTGGACATGTCCTTAATGCTAGTAAAACTAAGTTGTTAGTAATGAGATCTCCATACCTAAAACCCATTTCAATTAAAAAATTAGTTGCACACAACCACATCTGCCTACATCACTATTTGCTGCCCAGAAATTTATATAATTGACACAAAAACATATATTGGACTAGTTATTGACAATAAATTTAATTGGAGCCAGCATATTGAACGTGTATGTACTAAACTAATAGTTTCTAGCAAATATAACTATCCTCAAAAATTGCATTCCATTTAAAATAAAGTTAATGTTATGCAATGCACTTGCAGGGTCGCACATTCAATACGGACTAAGGGCTTACCCCTTACATTCAGTTTACAATTTAGTCGCCTAAATTAGAGGGTAGGAGTGGTGTGGGGGGGGAGTTGTAGAGTCACCCCCTACTTCCCCTTCCTGCCGGACGTGCTTAGTTTTTTTTATAAATTTTTAAAAATCTCATTTCGAGGTTATGTTTCGTAATTTTTATGACAATTTTAACCTGATTTATGGGGAGAGATAGTTGGGGGACAGAAGCTCCAGGCCACTTAACGTGGTGCAGTCGAGGGAAGCCCGGTCGACGGGGCCCCGCTTCGCGGGGCTCCTACTTCTGAGTGGTTTATAAAAAGATAACCACGAAGAGGATGACGGGGTCTATTCGCTCGCTTCGCTCACTCACTCGACTCGACCCCGTCATCCCCTTCTAACCTAACCTGTCCGAGTCGGGGTGCCCCACGTCCCAGGCTCGCTTCACTTGCTATTGCACTCAATATAACACCAAAATATTAACTTTCATCACTACTTTAATTTATAAACATAATTTATGGCTGCCACCATTTGTAAGAAAGAATCTTTGTGATATTTAGCAGTATTCCGCCGCCACAAATACTCCACTAATCACCAAAATTCTGAAACTCGGAAGCAACGGCATGACGAAAAGCTGTCAACAAAATGGCCGGCCTAGCGATTAATTTTACACATTTTTACCGCGAAGGTTGAATCGATTCACAAAAAATAGAAATCTTAAAGACCGATTTCGCAAAAATCGATCTTATTTGATTTGCATTAAAAGTTTATATTTAGAATATCAAAAGATACAATAAAGTACAGATAACATTAAATGATTGAATTGAAAAACTGTCATTCTTTACGAGTTGGGGTACATTCAACTAATTGTAAATAATTTTATAAATCTTAATAAGACAGAAAAAGATTCGATCTCGATTCTTTAGGGTGAAATAATCGATTCAGTACTATATATCGATATGACATTGACAGATGAAATGTCAAAAACGTAAGAATATTTAATTAATTAGTCATTTACCAATATATTTAAAAAAATAATTAAAAATACTTCGGCGCTGCTCCGGTAGCAAAAATCGCATGGGGGTGCTTCAGATAAACCCCCTTGACCCCCCACAGTGACAGAATCTTCAAATTCAGGCGACCGAATGGTAAACCCAAGCCCGGACTAAGTAGCTACGGTCGATCTTACAAAACATATCTTGAGAACAAGATCAATCAGCTTTTAACTTCTGATTTGATGGGTGTTTAGCTATTTCATATATTTTATGTGGCCTGACCTAGAGCAAAATATAACAAATGTAAATAAGTATTGCTGGTATAAAAAAGCATACATACTTGGAGACTATGGACAACAGCAGCGGGTGAGGTAATGGGGCATCTCCTTCCTCCTCCCAGTATGCTAGCACTTGTGAACGCGCCTCTAATTTAAGTTCGTGCCATCTACGTTGCAACAGTACCAGTGATATGTTTGCAACACTGAAATTGCGAATTAACAAAACATCCAATTAATAAGTTATTTATTTTTTCCTAAATAGCTGTTCATGATAAACTTTCAAAAAAAAAAAGGCGACTTTAAAGGACTAATAACTAAATAAGATGTTCCAAAATGTACTCAATGTACTCAACAATAACAAAACACATTTTGAACGGTTCTCAACCATCCAATTATTTTATAATGGCTTTGTTTGCTGGTAAAGCACAGGAAAAACAAAAACCCGTCATGCCGGTAAGCTGTCATTTTTATTGAGTTTATTTCACGCATTTTTGTCACTATTGTGACAACTGACAGTATTATATTTATGATATGATCAATGGTCGCTTTATGGCATACTGTCATTGTCTATAAGCACAGAGTAACTAAATTGATAAGACGCCATGTTGAAAGTCGATAAAAATAATTGATGAACATCATTTGTTTACCACGACAGGACGATATTTAAATGAATTATCTGTATTTTTCCCGAACTTTACAGTTTTTTTCTTTTTTTTTTTGAGGTAGTGTACAAAGACCTGGCCCATTTTGAAACATCTGCTTTAACTTGCACATCATTTAATAGCTCTTTAACATTGATTGATATATTATTGCTAGGTCAATAACCACACCCGAAGGAGAAATTGTATTTGTATATTACAGATGGCGCTACTTTTGCTTGTATGAAGAAAGTATAAGTAAAATGTTTAGATGGGCGTATCCTTCCTTTAGAAATCATTGCTCTTGAAGAGTTCAATACACAGTGTATCTAAGAATTAAAATTAAAATTATTTTAGGTTGTTAAAAGTCAGTTTTTAGCTTTTTTAAGTTTAATTGTTTGACTCCTTTTAAGTAAACTAAGCAATATAAGGCTCTTAAGGTGACAAATAGAATATTGTCTAAATAGCTACATCAAAAACTTTATCCCCGGTTTTTAACATTTAAATAGGATCATATAGTTAAGCTGCGAGGCGGGCTACCGAGGGATAATATTTTTCCGCTCACTGGATGTCGTTTGTTGGGACTGAGGTGAAGTTTTTTGTTACACAATTTCATATAATTAAGAGTTTTTTTTTAAATAAAAGTGCATCGGTTTCTAGAGTATTATGTAAATACACAAAACAATCCTTCCTACAATGGAATGGTGTATTGTATGCTCTTTAATTTTTTACACACTTATTACCAATTTTTTTTATTCTTCTACTTTTGTGAACATCCCTAGCACAGTTGAAATATAGGGTCAGTTAGGAAACTACCTACAAACGCTCAAAACGGCACACTCACACAAACATGCAAAACTACGAGACTCCTAAGTGAACGTCGCGGTGCTCTCGGTATCGAGTGCCGCGTCAATACGAGTGGTCACGTTTAAGTTTATCTCCGCAATCTTTTTAAAAATGCCACGAACGTATTGCGTTAGTATACGGCTGTTTGAACTCAGCTTTATCAAAACCGGAGCTATTTTAAGCTTCCTGTTGATTTTGATAGGTAATGGTCGCCAAACACAGTCAGTTCAACTGAGATCAGTTCAAACTAAAACTGTTGATATTTTCTAATATTGGATTTTTGATATACCGATAAATAAACTTATATATAAAACTCCGATATTGATATATTTATAATTATCAATATATCGAAAATTCAATATTTAAAAAAAATATCAACAGTTTTAGTTTGAACCGATCAGTTGAACTGATCGTGTGTAGTGCCATAAGAATTATTTATTGTTATTATAATAATCCTTATCGAATTATAAGTACGTGTGATCGATCATAATGAATTCGTGAATTTATGCATTAGTGGCACTGAGTTATACAACACTAGAGTCGAAAAAAGTGTAACCACTATCCAAACGCGACGCCGTAGCTTTAAAACTAATAACAATTTTAAATAAACATATATCTATCTCACTTACACAAGTTGCGAAAACAATATCGCCGCTATTTTCGTTCGCGAGATTAGATAAAGATAGACACACAAACATGCAATGACGGGTTGGTGTGGCTTACTATATGAAATTTTACCTAAAATACGCAATAAAAATGAGTTTTCTAAAGCTGCAGTTAATTGTTTTTATATTAAAAAAGTATATTTTATTTTAAAATCTTTATTGAGTCCCCTTAGAAAAAAGGATAAATAGCTTATCAGATGAATAGAAGTAAAATAATGATGAAATAAAACAAATTTTTATAAGTATTTTTATTGTACTAATAAATCAAACAATATAAACTAGGTAATAAAATATAATTTAAATATAATTTATATAAAATTTATACGAAATTATAATTAATATAAAATTAGTAATATAAAATAAGTAGGTAATAAAATATATTTAATAGATAATTCATGAATAAACTAAAATAAGAATAATTAATTATTTTGTATGAAAGTTAAAACGTAGTTTTTATTATAATTTCCAAAATATTTAAAATCAGAGGTAACAAATTAACTTACTCCATTAATTATACATATAGTCGCCCATTAATGTAGGATAATCAAAAATGCAGAAAAGTGGCAACATTGAATCTAAATGGCAATATTCGATAATTTTATTTAATTATTTGAGGTATTTTACGTTTATATGAAAACAAGAGCTAAAAATTATGTGTTGAAAGTGATTCCGCTTGATTTATTACGTTTTTGTGACCTTGAATAGCATTCTTTCACTACGCATTTACCAATTTTTTGTCGCGGCTCAACACTGTTAGCGTCACATTGAACACTGAACTGACGTTAGCTAGGAATATGGCTGTGGCTTGTTGGTTATTACTGATCTAGTGCAATATATAAATCAATGATTAGTGGTAACAAATAGTAAATCCAAGATGGCGGCAGCAATAATTATCAACTGTTACATCATGGACACAACATAAAATATGTATCGTTTTCATGGTTTTTCGAGGGTGTTGAAGCCACTGACCTCTATATATACAAGTACGCTGGACTGGCTATACCATACAAAATGACTGTGCCAATTTGAAGCGCCGCTAAAGGATGTCTTGAAAAATAAAATTGACATAATATGCCAAAATATGTTGTCTTATTCATATTGTCATAAGTTCATCATTTAATAAGTCTGTATTTTGAACTTTTAAACTAAAAAACGAAAGTATTTTATGTTGTTTGATTATTTTATTATTGATTATGTATAATATTAGTTACATAATACGAATTATTTTCATTAATAATGAGAGGGTGCGTAATCTGTAAAACTGGTTACCAATAGGGAAGTGGTATAACATTTTACAAGTAAGTGAATTTGCAGTAAATATTAAACAAATTAAAACTATTTGATAATATAAGTACTTAGAAATTTGTTACTAATCTTAATATCATATATACCAACATGTTTAGCTGTATATTACTGAGTTTTGATAAACAATAAAATTCAATAGGGTTGTCGAGTTCCTTGTCTATAATACTTATCGATGTTCTTGCCTACCCATATTTGTTAACAAACAAAGTCACCAACAACAGATGATTATCAAATGTTTATTAATTAACAGGTTTCCAACAGAACCTAGACTAAAATTATGGCTTAAAATCATAAATATTGTGAATTGGCGTCCGAAACAAAATGATCACATTTGTTCCAAACATTTCACAGACGACTGTTTTATTAGACATGAGAACTGCACCACCTTGAAAAAGTGCAGTATACCGACAATATTTTCTTGTAGTACCAGTACCAAGCACTGCCAACTACGAAGTACTAAGTATTAGATTATTATTTCGAATGATTTTTCTTCTTTCCTCATTTTCCACCAAACTCAAGGGCCATAGCCAAGTGTCGAAAGGTCGCATGATGATGTCGAGTCACGTTGGATGTGTGTTAGTGGGCTGCGGCTAGAGGAGATTCCTCTCACTGTACTGCTGGAAGAGGAGTGTTGGTATGGCGATTGGCGATGCACCACTCGACTGTTTTTCGCGACTTTGGTGAGGCTGCACCACTTGATGCTTCCAAATGCTCGTTTTTACCTGGCTCCATTCACATATCGGGCTCGGTAATTGATAATTTCAGTTATTTTTTTAATATTGTAATTTTAATTTCGAAAATGACGTTGTAAATAACTGATAACTGTGTAATTTAAAGTTTATATTTTTTATATTATCTTGCTAGCTTATACCCGGCGCATTATTGCCGCAGAAGAAATAATTGTGGAAATATCGTTAAAAATGTGGAACAGTTATATTGTATAATTAGGAATGATAATACAATCATTGAAATAGAATGAAAAATAACTTTCTATGACTTTCAAATAAATAGTCAGTATAATACGCACGCCACCTAGTGTCAGTTAATTGTACCATGCGTATAACCTTCTCACAAGTACAACCAATAAGATGACTAAGTTTTACCGCAATCTGATGAACGGTATGGCATCGTAGAAAGTACGAACAAACATAAATTTTTATATAGTAGAAAATATTTTACTGTCAATAGACAGACCTGTAGTTGATTAGGATAGGCGTTATTATAGCAGCTGATTTGTTTTTTATAATACTGTGTACTTAGTTTAATCTTAATAATTTTAGTTGAATGGTTAAGGGCTATGATGGCATATCCGAGTACAGAACCAGAGTACAAAACTAATTCAACTGTAGAGATGTGTAAGAGACAGGGTGACGTAATATCCCCGAAATACTTTACCGCTGCATTGGAAAACGTTTTCAACCTACTGGACTGGAAAGGATACGGTATTAACGTCAATGTCGTGTACGTCACTCACTTTCGATTTGCCGACAGTATAGTCCTTATGGTACAATCGCTGGAGGACCTACGCACTATGTTCAATGACCTCAATATTGTCTACCAACGGATAGGTCTTAAGATGAACATGGAGAAAACAAAAGTCATGTGTAATGTCCATGTCACACCTATGCCTGTGGTTTTTGGGAGCACTTAGCTGAAGTTGTTGATGAGTATTTTTACTGGGACAAAGAGTCCGACTAGGTAGGTCCGTCAATTGACCTTCTTCTCAATTGAACTTCGACCAACAGCTCTATCGACGGATTCAACTCGGCTGGGCAGCGTTCGGGAGATTACAACACATCTTCTCGTCAGGAATACCTCAAAACTAGATTGTACAACCAATAAGTGTTGCCAGTGATAAAATATGGATCTGAGACGAGGTTTTCACTGCTGGCCGTATGAGGAAGCTCGAAGCCGCTCAACGAGCTATGAAGAGGGCTATACTCAGGGGTACAAACAAAACAAACAAACAAAAAGCTGAAGTGGCAATTGACCGGCCATATAGCTCGAAGAACCGAATACCGATGGGGAAAAAGGTTATCGAGTGGCAGCCTCGTACTGGAAAGTTAAGTGTAGGACGTTCCCCCACTAGATGGACTCAAAACCTGGTAAGACATGCAGGATGGATGCAGGTAGCTCAGGACCGTGCTTTGTGGCATTCCTTGGGGGAGGCCTATGTTCAGCAGTGGATTTGTGAAGGATTTTAATGATGATAAATGATAATGGCATTATATTAATATGATAAATAAATAGAAAGGACGTTACGGGTAGAGTCCATCTATTCATAGAGTCCATTCTATTTATTTAGGTATAGGTAGGGTATAGAATTTTTATCGATATAATTTGGTACACTGTCTTATCCCTAGTATTAGTTCCGTGGACATGCACTTCTGATGTCAGCGCCAAAATGGCGGAAATCAAATCGCTTCATCATGTCACGGTGTATAGCCAGTCCAGCGTACTTGTATATATAGAGGTCAGTGGTTGAAGCTCATATATATGATATATGAAGCCGATAGTTCTGTCAAAACGTGAATCCAAGATGGCGGCTGCTATAGGTATCAATTTTTTGTCATAGGTATAGCTTCGATGGTGTTGAAGGCGATAGTGCTGTCGAAACATGAATCTAAGATGGCGGCTGCAATATGTATTAATTTTTTCGTCATGGGTGTCGTTTTCATGGTTTTTGAAGGTGTTGAATCCGATATTGCTGTAAAATTGTAAATAAAAATGGACAGTATTTTTTACAAAATTTTTGTTTAAAAAAATAGTCCCGCTAGGTTTCTTGCTGGTTCTTCCCAGGACAGTGGTTTTTTTGCGAACCAGTGGTAAATGGAAAAAAAGTGACTTTCAATAAGTATTATTTATACTTAATCCATATTGAATAAAAAGTTTCGTTTCTGTACGGTCACTACGGTTCGCAGCCGCTCATGAGCCCTGCCCGCGCGCCACCTGCGCCGTTTTCATCCAACCACGGCTCACGTACGCTCCCGCCAAAACTTGTAAAAGGTTATAATGAAATGACAAACTTAAAGATCTATAGTTCTACAAGCTGTTGTATGTTAATATTAAATTGTTTTCCGTGTTTAAACTATTGTCTTTTGCTGAGATTAACCGACGCCATGAGATTACCTATTTGAATGGAATTTGTAAGCTAATTATTTAAATTGCATTGATTGATCACTCTAGAACAAAATATAATATCAAAAACATTAAAAGTCAAAACCGTATTGCTTCAATGGAGCGTAGGTAATTATGTCCTCAACTAGGCTTGGTTTCCTTACTGTCCATATTTATACTGTGTCACTAGTTTGATTTATTCACGTCTAATGTAATTTATAGAAACTATATCCAATTTTACAAAAAGAAACATTAACCTTACACATTTTCCGAACAAATTAACTTCTACGCCATAAAAGCTGTAAAATATTTCGTCTCATTCCTAGCACCGCCCTGGCGCCAGAAAACGTGGATGCCCTCATTGATCCATAACTTCAGAAATGAAACCGCCCTCCAGAATTTCCCAACTACACATACTATATAATATGTGCAGTGGGTCAATAGATGTACATGTAATATCTCCAGCCAAGGTTAAAGCCACAGTAAACGACACAATATTTATGTAAATATGTGTAAGACATTGTTTTACACACATATACATGTTTTATATACATAATAATTATTTTGTTGGATTCTCAGTTTTTATATTTTATATGGGTATTTAGAATTACTAGGTAACTTTTTAGTAACTAGAAGAATGCAGTTTACACCTTTAGTTGATGTGTGTTAAATAAATAAAAAATATGAATTCATATTTCATACACAACAAACTTTACCTATTTTTGGAGGGGTCTCTCAAGGTATACTATCAAGCAAACAAATATAAATGTATTTACAGAAACGTACAATAATTCTGATTTTACCTGTTTGAATACGAAGCAAAAGCATCCATCCACGCGTTAACTAGAAGCGGGCTTTTATTCCTTAAACAGTCCTCCACCTTTTTCTTGACTACTATTTTATATAATTCTATAAGTCCTTTTAACTGATGAGTATGTAACAGACTATCCTGTAATATTTAAGATTATTAATAACCAAATAATCGTTACTTTAATAACAAGGATTGATTTTTTAATATGAAAAATAAATTTACACATTGATTATGAAATCTTTGTACATGTTAAAATTGACTGCCTCGTTGGTTTAGTGATCATAAATATGCTCATAATGAAGTCCCGATTCGATCCCCCGGTTGGGCTAAAATCGATTATGGAGTTTTTCTGTAAAGAAATCCTCAGTAGCAACCTGGAGTCAAGAAGTTGGTGCTGTTTCACCCCCGTGCCTAGGAAAGCACGTAAAACTGTTGGTCCTGCGCCTGATCTCTCTCCGGTTGTGTCCGATTACCGTCCATCGGATTATGAGAGAGAGAGAGGGACTGAGAGAGAGAGGGAGAGGGTGGGGAGAGAGAGAGTTGCGCATACACTTGGGCAATACAATTCTGTCTTGCGCAGATGGTGTCTCTGTTAAGACTTGCTGCCGTAAATATTATTGTTATCATCCTGAGGTAAAAATGTATTTTTCTCATCTGGTTGGGATGCATAATTACATAAAAGAGAATGATACATATACATTAAATATAGTAAAATAACCCATCCCACATGCCGGTCAGCCAGATCCAGATATTTGGTTTGCTTATCTGTTACGGCCTTCATGAGATTCTCCTAATACGGAATGGCGCCCGAAAATATCCTTGGCGGTGCTCAGTCCATCAGCAGAATATCAGACGTATTCGCAAGAACAGTCCTGTCTGTGATGACAGCCCAGTTCCAGTAGAGACTGGCGCGGTAATTTTCGAGCACGGCTTCCGGCAAGTATCGATCCACGAGATCATATTTCAGAGCAAGCTCCTGGTGCAGAAACTCTGAATCAGAAAGCGTCAAACAACTGAAGATGACGTGCCTAATTGACTCACCGGGATAGCGGCAAGTTCCACAGATGTCGACGGTACCATCCCCTACGCTGGATCTCTGACAGTTGTTGGTCTTAATAACCTGATAATGTATCGCACAGACAAAGCCCTCGGTTTCCTCAAAGAGGTCAACGAATGGCCAAAGGAGGGAGGCAACTGTGTCCTGCCTCCTTCCATACGTTTTACCGATCGTAAATGCTCTGTACTGCCGAGTCTTGCCATTGCACATTGGCTAAGGATAGAGAGGTAAGCCCTTTATCACAAGACATAACGTCCTTATAGAATGGATCATCCAATATCGTCACTAAATAATTACGGAGGCTGCACACTTCGCGACTGTGCATGGTGAACGCGCTTAAAAAGCCACGCCCACCACGCTACCGCAGCAAGTACAGCCTCATTACTGACGACCTTGGGTGACCTTGGGTATCCAGAGCGTTCAGTTCGGTCTGAGTTTACTGGAGTATGCCAAAGATATACATTAGAATAGGCCTGAACCAACCGTTATATGCATAATATGTCGTTATTAACGCCCACATCGAAAACTGACTGTTTCATGTCCGCCTGATTGATATCTATGTTCTGTAACATACCTAGGTATCAGTATGTTCCTGCCTCAGAAAGGGTCCTTATGTTGATGAGCACAGGGTAAGTCTATGTCCTCAGAGATAGCAACCCTATCCCTTTCGACATGGAGGAGCGCACACTTATCCGTCCTCAACTCAATTCTGATGGAATTCACAAGTGATGTTCAGCAATTCCTTAAGATGGGAGCCAATGACTGGAGGCCAATAACTTGAAATCATCCATATACAAATGCTGGGTCACTTTTATCCCTCCCTTCCGTAGCTGAAATACCCGCCCGGAGCCCGCCAGTAAGGTACTGAGAGGGTTCAGAAAGAGGCAGAACCAGATTGGACTCAGACAATCTTCCCTAAAAGATACCCCTTAACCGTATGGGGTTCTCTGCAGCGGTCATCTGCTTGCTCAGATGACAAATGATCTTACACTACTGCCCCATACACTGCTCGAGGAAGTCTCTAACTGTGCAGTCAACCTTATGCAGCTCGACAACCCTCTTTAGCTATGTATGGGGCACCGAGTCGAATGCCTTTCTGTAGTTTATTCAGGCTGCGGAGAAGTTTCGCCGGTTACGCCGAACCACTTTGCCAATGACCGCGTGAATAAAGAGTTGTTCCATGGTTCTGCGTCCACCGCCTCGACATCTTTTTTGAGCCCATGACATCACCTGATTTAGCACCAAGTAACGAGTGATTCTCGTGCTTAAAATGGATGTCATCGTATTATATATGGTGGTTTGACACGTGACTGTGCGGTATTTGTTTGAGTCTGTGGTATAATTATTTTTAGGAAACAAGTGAGTGATCCCAGTAGTGAATAGCCTCGAGAGCGACTTCTGGTCGAGAGCCTCTTAAAATTGTCGGTCAAGCACAGCGTAACACACTACAAACCCCTTAAGCCAGTAGTGATGCAGCCCGTCGCGTCCCGGACTTTGCCAGTTCGGGGCCCTACGGACCGCCTGAGCCACGTCTTCCGGCGTTATAGTGACGGGGTTCATAGGCGTAACACTCGCACCCTGGCTCGCCTCAACTTCTATCCTAGGGCTTTCGCTGTAGTTTACGTGTTCTGCCAATAGGCCACGCCAGAATGCGACAGTGTCCCGCCCGTGGAGGTGCCCGTCCCGACGATGGCATGTGGAGTGGGCCGCTACACATACCTTCTGTCGCTCCAACAATTTATAGAGCCTCTTCTTATCACTCTGGAAGAGACGATTCCGGTTGATCAGCCTTGACTTCTCGGTATATCGCCGGCTTCCCCCAAGCAACGATATTTTGCTTCAGGTCATCTATGTGCTTCATTAGTTTCTGCGTGATATCCGGCTAGGACAATCTGATATTTGTACCAGCAACCGCCATTCTAACGGTGCGCACAAATCTCGGCTTATTATTACCCGACCTAAAGCTTGTCAGTCTGCCGACGAGGGCCCTTGCCTTTACGATACGGTCCTCAATTCTTTTTTTCCGGGCTGGGATGGCGCTAATTTCTCTAATAGCGCGTCCAGCTGTGGGAAGTTTGGTGCCAATAATATGGCAAACTGCCAGTGCATATCCCAGCCGGCTTGTAAATAGGTCATCAGCAGTGGGTTAAAAGCCCGCACGACAGCTCGATTCCACTTGCAGTTAGTTGTATGCTGGGAAGCCGCGGTCAATTTTCGAGAGGCGTACAGCGCGTTTCCGAAATCGCCTCTTCCAATAGGCTCCATTCCATTTGCTCTAGTTCGTGGGAAACTATTCCATGATCGTCTGAATCAATCACAACTGGCATATCCGCGGCGACATTCACGTGTGCAGGTTGCTCTGCAATTAATGGCGCCGCATTCTCAACCGTAAAATCAACATCGTTCGAGTTCGGTGTCACCAAGTAGGTTTTGCTAAGTGATGGTTAGATAGCTCCAGCTCTGCATAAAAGCGATGCATCCGAGCCCGATACGCAAATCTTCCAGTTCTTCGAATTTTCTCCGTTAGCGTTCATTATTTTCGACCAACGCATGCGACGTGTTCCACCAGCGGCGGGTGCCGCTTGCTTAGTCCGTGAAGACCAAACCGACACCAAGCCTTCTGGTGAGGATAATGGATGCAGGGGATTGCTAGGTGGTCTTACAGCCTCACGCGCTCGCCTGTTGGACCGCATGCTGTCACGTCTAGCGCCAGCTCCAGACACACATTAGCGAACTCCAGACAGCGGCCCTTTGCGCAATATTTTTTGTCCACCATTCTTAAATGGGCGTCAATTAACGGGAGACGCCTAGGCTAGGCACTGTATCATGTGCAGCCATAAGCACAAGCGGTCCTTTGCACCCTCAATTTTGGCAAGGATGTAGCATTTTTGTCACTTAACTGTTACGTCAGCGAGCAGTGAGTGATGGGGTCGTCAATTCCCTACAGCATTCCCTCAGCCTATTATCATTATTAAAATCAAAGAACTATTAGAAATTGCAAGACTTACTATTCATATGTTAATAAATATAGAAAAATATTTACCCGATTGACGATTTTGAAGTCATCGTCATAAAGCAGAATTACATCAACGATCCGCCAGTCACTAAGGAATATATTGCGGGGAGTGTCGCCAGTTTTTATCGAGGTGATGATGTGTCTTCGAATGTGATTACACGTGCGCTTCCTAAAACATCACGTTAAAATATAAGACAAAGGCTGATGTTATTGGAGATGCGTTTTAAGAGAGAATAATTTTATTTGTGAGAAACCAAGACTTTGATGCATCTTGTAAAGATCATAAGCGATAATATAAACGAATTAGGAAATGATCATGTGGCTTTCGAAACGATGACACAGAACATCTGAGCACCGTACAGTTCACCAATCGAACTCAAAGATTGTTTTCCGAGTTGGAAGAGAACCATGTTAAGAATTAATAATTTACTGAATATTATGCGTGCACAATAACATGAAGCTCGCCCGCGAGTACGTGTGTCTAGGCATGTCAATCTAAAATCGATTAATCGAAAAATCGATTCTTTGGAGTAAAATTAATTCTTTGAGTAATATATATATATATTTTTAGATCGATTCGAAGCACCGCATCGATTCACTGAATCGATCCAAAACCTATTGAATCGGACTGATTCATCTGATTCAAGAACTAGCTAAAATTCCCAAACTGGCTGGGGTAAGATACCACAGTTTTTTAATTTTTTTGATGTTGGGGGACGCAAAAACAACCGGTCGTACTTGGTTGATAATTTGAAAGCAATATATATTTGAATAAAATAAATGTTTATAAACGCATCCAACAATATCGAAAAGTTGTCATTTCATTTTCATTTCTAAAATTCTTAAGCCCGCTTTCCACTAAGGGATATAATGTAATTTAATATTACATCGCGAGATATATATTAATATCGCTCACCGTACTTTTAAATAGAACCGTTTCCACTGAGGTGTAATTTATATTACATCCCAAACTATAAATATTTTTCCATCCCTCTGTCGCCTTTTACGATATCCACAGGATATTATGGGGTAGTTGATGTTCTAACACCACCCCTACACGGTTTATTAATGTGCAAGAAAGAAATAAATAAGGGAAATATGAAAATATAAAGAATTGTTAAAGATTAGTCTGACAAATTAAAAACAAATTTTAATAACGATATATAACAATTTGTTTTTAATTTGGTGTAAAGGAACATAGTTTACCACATTACTTCTGTAACGTAATTGTACTTATTACTAGTGATGTGCCGGATATCCGTATCTGTACCCGCGGATGTCCGAGGGATAAGAAAGACACGTACACGCATCCGTTACTTTTTGGCGGATCTTTTACGGAACTTTTACCTTATTAATTTTCAATACATAGATTAAATTCTATATATATGTGATTAGGTAGCAATGAAAAACTATTAAGTTCCATTTAGATGATTTTTTATTGCTTAAAATCAAATCTTTGGCACTCAAAGAAACTAAATCAACTATATAATGATATTAATCACAAACATTTGTGATAAGCTTATTAAAATAATTATTATACCTATTTAAACATTTATTGTAGAAAGTTTTTATAAATTTTAATTAAAATATCTTTATAATGAGATCGATTGAGACTTGCAAAACTTTTAAAGCTTTTTGATTGAGTCAAACTTGTATTTTTTCTAATTCCTGCTTTGCCGTTGTGGAATGGTTGACATGTCTTGCAATTTTCTTACATTTTGTAAGTAACATGCAGATTGAATAAACTTTTGAATGCAACTAATGTGCTGTACAGTTGATATTATGTATTTCAGATAAATAACAGGCGCGCTACATATTGGAACCCCATCTCTCCATACAGTGCATATTTTGTTTCAGAATTCCCCATTCTTCTAACATACTTTAAAATGTTTCCATAATATAATTAATCTCCCGTGCGACGTTCTTCACTAACTTCTGCTTTCAAAACGATATCTTTTCGTCGATTTTTTTCCGTAATACCACGCAATAACAATGAAACTCCTGATGAAGATTCTGACCAGTATAAAGTGAAGGAAACTTTCTCAAAATCTTGTAGCATTTTTTTTTAATTTTTGATGGCACTATCGTAAAATTAGATGCAAACGGGTTGCTTAAAATATTTTCTGCCTTTTTGAACATAATTTGGAACAATATGGTCCATCAACCGTCGGAACCCTAATTCTTCTACGTATTGAAAAAGTAAATCTGATAAGCTAACATTTCAACAATCATAAAATCAATTTTCATTGATTTGGGGTTTGTATTATCCCACATTTTAGCTTTTCCTATGTATTCCTTGACATACATTTGTTTAAATTTTCTTTTAAATTTGTAAAGATTCTTCTTTTAAGAATAGATCATATTCTTAAAGATATTTTCTCTGTAGATATTTTTTTTAAAGAAGTTGTGCCTTTACTCTTACAGGAAAACTCTCCGTCACAAATTTTACACTTCGCACATTGATCGTTTATTATCACAAAAAAAAAATCAAATTACACAGTTAAACTTCATTATAGACATTTTTTATCTCATGTACCAATCACCAACGTTATTTATCTTGCCCAGTGTCACACTAAACTATAAACAAAACGAAAGAAAGACTCGCGCAATGCAAGTCGAAACATGTCCTGTCAAGCAAAGTATTAAGTGGCATCAATTATCGTTTCAAGGTCACGCGCACCGACACCAATTGAGTAAGAAAGTTAAGATCCGTATCCGTGTCTACGAATCTTGACAAATCAATCATCAAATATCCGCATTCGGATCCGTATCTGCGGATATATATTTTTAACGATCCAGCACATCACTACTTATTACTTAGAAATATATTTGTATATACACTTCATCGCAAATTGAACTTAAAGGCATGCCATGTCCCCCTTTTATTAACAAAATATTAAAAGAACAAGCTTAATAATTTAAAAAGTTATTTAAAACAACCGACTGCGCTAAAAAGTTTACTCAAAACCTTTAAATAAAACCCCTCCTTTCTGTCTGTTTTTGCAGATGCAATACATAAATATAATAAAGTCCATGTTACTTCCACAATTAATACGAATCTAAGCGTTAGTAAAGGTTCGGAGAATATAAAAAACATACTTACCACAAATCGAAAATGGTATCATTATCAATCTTGTAAAAGCTACCAATTTCCTTGACCACGTCAGGGCTATATATTGATTTGCCACCATGTATAGCTTTTCTGGCATTTTCCACCAACATTGAATAAAAATCCGTCAGTTTCGCGTCTTGTTGCAATTTTTTGTAATGTAGTTCTTGCTGTAGTAAGAAAGGTTATTTTTAGTTTTAGCTTTTTTAATGATGGTAATAAATATAGTAAATATTTAAATAAATATATTGCAAATAAATATATTATATTACTAAACCTAGTTATTTATTATTATATATAAGTAATATTACTTATTGATCAACCGATCAATAAGTTTTTGAAATAGGACACCTTATATGAAGTTATAGAAATGCGTTCTACTTTCTTCGAATCTCAAATTCGTTAGTAGCCAAGGCCAGAAGAAACTAAATTATAAAATTTATCCAATTTTTTTCAAACTTGGCATTTGACGGACATTTGATTAGTAAGTAAAATGGAAAAACTCGAACTGTGCGGTTATTAAATATTTCTGCCTAAAAATGTTTACGACAAAAAGTATTTTTGAAGAACTGCAGCCTACTTTGTTGTTAATGTAAATCGACGTATAACCCATCCGTTATTTACACAGAAATCTAAATAATAAGGCAATAGAAATGCCTTCTACTATCTTTTAATATCAGGACGCGTGTCGCCAGATCGCAGTTCTCACACATAGACAAATAATAAATACACAATTACGCCTACACATGTCTCTAGCATTCATGCAACAAAGATTAAACTATAAACTATTTCGTTAAGGAATATTTTATAAAAACGCAAAATCTCAGGAGGCGTAGCCACTCGGTCCAATAATTAACGTGTGCGAAAAACAGATAATGACATTGCACACTCACTCTCACTTGAGCATAGTGCAGTGCAACGCACGTTTCGATACCTTTCTATTAAGCGTCGGTGATCGTCCAGGAGTCTCACACCAAGATATAACTAATTAACTGAAAATGTCTCAGTAATAGACGCTTTTAGTCTTAGCTTTAGCTTTTAGACGCTTTATAATTAGAGAAAAGGGGATTTAATAAAACGTTAAGGATAAGTATATTCATTTATATTTAATATCCGGATCTTTTGGAAATACAAGAATAAAACTACAGGAATAAAAGCATTTTACTAAACAAACAGAAGTATAAATAAAATGAATACAACATTATACAAACAGAAAATAAATAAATTATATATGTATGGGTGACATATGTATCATTTTTATTAGTTTTAAAGATCTGTAACTGATTTTCTGTTGTTTGTTATTTTTCAGTTACCCGGCTTCTTACAGATCGAATTTTGTCTACTATTCTTACAATATAGTTACTTATCCTTACAATATATTAAAATTGCATAAAAATTTATCAAGTAATTTAAAAGTACGAACAAACAGATAATTGCTGATAAACGGCTAACGGTATTAAATATTTAGAAAAAAAAAATAGAGAAGGTGTAAAAAATATTTAATGAAAAATCATATTTCATTCCCATTTCGGTAAAACTAGGTAAGCCAAACGTAATAAATTGTCGATATAAAATAGTAGTGTTACGTAACTGACTCGCGTCGACTCCTGCGGCCGTGTTCTAGAAAATCCATCGCTGCTTTTAGTTGTCGTACTCGTAGATATGAACTAACTTGAGAATCAATGGATTTTGAAATGTGAAAACAATTACATTTTCGGAGACAATCGTAGTATGTGGAGGTGAATAATTTTATTTAAGTATATTTAATTAAAAACAACATTATTTAAAACACTAAGTACTTATTTATGAAATATTTTCCCCTTTATTAGAAAATTTGCGAGTTGTGGAAGAATTTCCGCAGTTGAATATGCTTCAAAACATCATTTTTACGTCTCCGCGTCCGAAACAAAACTATTGACCGAAACAAACGCTGTTCGCGCGCTTGTGGCCTACGAGTCACATGTGCGGCGACAAGGTCACACGCTTTTACGACTTCTATTGCCTTATTATTTAGATTTCTGTAGTTATTTAGCTAAGATTCTAAAGCTTTCGTTTGGAACAATTCAATTCACCTTAAAATTCAAAAAAGTAGTCACGCGCTGGGTTGCTAGAATATTAACAGACGCCCAAAAGAAAGCAAGAGTTGATATTTCAAAGTTACATTTTGATTTAATTGAAGAAGATCCAGATTTTTTTGCGCTCGTTTCGTAGCCGTAGTACGTAAAACACAATTTTGACCCGCAGACGACAAACCAAACCAAGGCGTGGAAAAGACTGTCTTCCCCGCCAGCCAAGATGATCAAAGTGTCTGCGGCCGCTGGAATAATAATGACCTCTGACTTCTGGGATGGAATGTATAATAATGATCGACCATTTAAGTATAGGCTGGCTTCTGTCATTCTTGCTACCTGCGTGAAATAATTACCTACAATTGCGTGGGACCTCGGATTACATACGCAGACGGGGATAGCGCATTCTAGGCGAGGGAATTTTAAGTTCTTTTTTTAAAACCGAACGCACATTTCTCCGCATCGTACGCGCCATACGCGCCACATTTTGCAGATGGCCTCGCACATTTACCCGCGCACGTCGTGCGCGGCATAAGCAATCATTTTGTATTGCCAACAACTTTCGCATCACTTCGGTGTGAAATGGAACAGTAACATTGATCGCTCGGAATCACTCGGATCGCTATGGAAAAAGTTGTTGTAGTAGCCTGCTTGGCAGAGGAAGAACAAAATAAATTCGAAGAAAAAGAAGATTCTGGATTAAACGTATTTATTTATTTATTTATTATTTTTTGTACACCACAATACAGAAACCTCAATATAGTTAAAACTAATTAAAGTATGTACAATAGGCGGTCTAATCACTCTGAAAGTGATTTCTTCCAGACAACCTTTGCGTAGAGGAATGATGCAAACAAAAGTTACAAATAGAGGGAATACAAAATAATAATAAAAAAATAATAATTATAATACATACAAATAAAAATAAGTGAAAGTTATATATAAAATATCATATAATAGATTAAATAAAAATAGTACGAGAAAGGTAAAGTAATTTATCTAATAGCGTTCTAAATAATACGATTTAACATGACTTTTGAAAGAGTGAAGAGATTTAGCACGACGAATACGGAGAGGTAATTAGTTCCACAATCGCACAGCGGTTACAGTGAAGGATTTCTTGAAAAAGGAAGAAGAGTGCAAAGGTGTAGAGAAAGATTGACGGAGGATCGAAGGAACCGATTATTGGTACGAGAAAGATACTGGAAACGGATTTTTAAATAAAGAGGAGTAGAAGGATTAAACAGCACACTATACAACGCGGAGAGAATGTGAGTATTCCTGCGAAGGCGGATCGGAAGCCATTTGAGCTGTTTACGAAATTCGGATATGATCATATTTGCGAAGCAGAAATGCGAAGAAGAAATGTCTATAAATCTAACGTATTAATTTAAAAAGGCAGTTGTATGGAATATCATGCTTTATTTAAAGACTTATTAACCGATTATGAACGATTTTTTAGATATATGCATTTAACTTACAAAAAATTTCAAGAATTAATACATATACTAAAACCATACTCATATATCTATAAAAAACTCAAGAGTTAAGAGGTCAATTGAACCAGAGGAAAAATTTGTTGTATGTTTAAGGGAAGTATTTTTTATTAATAATTAAGTAATCGTGTATGATTGGGTTTTTAAATTAAAACTAACTATAAATTTTTATGGTATTTAAATAATTTATCACAAAGTATTCATATTGATAACCGATACAAAAAAAAAAACAAATTATGTATTATCACGTGACTTCAATACGCGCCATAAGTGACGTCCATGTTTGTGACGTCATCATATTAAAGCATTGTCAACAGCTCGGATCTGTATATACAACATGTAACAAAAACTCTGTGGTTAGCCTTAAGTACGTTATCAGGATCAGTATTAAAACGCATAGAAATAACTTTACTTCTGAAAACTCGACATAAAAAAATAATGAAATTAAAATTTAATTAAATAATATTTGCACATTTTATGTGGATTGTTTACCTTTGCATAGAAAAATGAAGGAAGCTAAAACAAAACAGCAAGCAGCGGCGGCGTACATCAAAGACGGCGTTAATTAAGTAAAAATATATTTCTTAACGAAAGTCGAAACCACTAGTTTTAGTGGAAAATCCACTAAGTTGGCAACATTAGACAACACTGAGTATTAGCACGCGCAGAACGCGCCACATTGTATGACGTCATCAGAATTCGTGCTTTTGCGTTTTTTAATATTCGGATACTTACCGAATTTTGTAAAATGCGACGCGTACGGTGCGGCTATAATTTGCGAGGTTTCATATTAACAAGTGTTACAAAAACACGAAAAATTACAAGGTTTTCTCGTTGAAATTATATGTTTTTCGTTGGTTGCTTGAAATAACATATACTTGGTAAAAATAGTTCGTTTTCTCTACTACTGTAAGCTCAAAGCAAATTTTAAATAACTTATTTATTTATTTAATAATAATCATTCTCCCGATGCATGTTTAGGCAAAACTCTGAGAGACATGATTTGGGAGCTCTAATTTGTAGATACTATTGAATATCGACTATCAAAAAAAATATTTTTGTCTCAAATATATCCTATAATTTAATGATAGAATATATTTCCGTAATATGCCTTTCACGTAAGAAAAAGCTTCGATACAAGAAGCAATATCTTCGAAGTTCTACATCATTTTGACGTAAAATTTATACCAAAATAATCATCAACATTAACTTAAACTATACTATGATTTTTACTTTTTTAAATCGTTACTATTATTTTTTAATTAATTAAATAAAAGTACCATATATTTCACTGCGCGGTTCATCTGCGTTCACTGTTCACTATCGCGCGAGCGCTTGTCGAGGTTGGACCTGCGTCATTCGATTTCGCGCGCTCCGTCATTTCACTATTAGCATAGTGTGCGTCGATTGCCGTATAGGCGCTGCAATTTTCATCGTCAACTACGACCACAGTTTTTGATCGTTGGAAGAATTTACTTTCGTATAGTATATTTCAATTAGTATAAAGTTCGCACATTATTATTATACCAGATAGTTAACTCATTATAG